GCGGTGGGCGAGGGGCGGGCGAGCCAGCAATTTAACAAACGGTTCGGTGTTTTTTTGTAATTTTATTGGCCCGCGGAGCTTCAGCATAGGCTAATTAGCCCTTGATTAGATCGGCTCCCGACTCTCAGCTGATTTGCTCTCAGCTGTTTTGCTCAGGGCTCTGCTGCTTGCTGAAGCAGATTTTTTTTCCCCTAGCTATGCTGAAAAATGAAACTGAAAGTAAAGCAGGTTGTTGGCTTTGCTGTTGCTGCAATGTTGGAAAATTAGGCAGGCAGATTTCTTTTCTTTTTCCTCACCAAAAAAGGTAGGTGCAAACAATGGGAAATTTAGGGAAGAAGAAGAGAGTTCAAGATTTTAAAACACAAAAGAAAAAAAGCTCTATTTAACTAGGGAATTGTAATAATTGAGATACTATTAATTGTGTATTGTGTTGAAAGCAGAAATGGTTAAGTTGTGGTTTGGAGGAATATATGGGGGAAATTATTTGGTTTATTATTATTGGTAAATATAATTAATTGATTTGTAAGAAATTGGATTGCATGGAAATAATTTGAATATTCATGTTCATATTGATTAATATACAAAAAAGGTAGTTATATAACTAATTGATTTATATTAAAATGTTGAATTTATATTAAACAACTGTAATATTATATAATTAACCAATGTGAGGATGGATATAAAAATAGATGACAATGGGAAGGGGTATAATATAGAATAGAAGGGAAAAATTGAATTTGATTAAGATTAGAGATGAGGATGAAGGGTAATATTGGTTTTTTACAAAAATAGATGAAGAATAAATATGGCAAAAAGGAAATATAGAAATTGTAAATTTAATTGAAATGACTAAACACTGTTTAAATTTGTGAACCGGCCAAATACTCTGTTCAAAGAAAATACATTGTATGTTTGTATGTGTGTTTTTAATTATTGTTATTTATTCATATTTGTTCTCTTTTATTCTTTAAAATTTGACAATTCATTCTTTATCTTAATATCTTTATATTTGTTTCTTCTCTTTCATCTTTTTTATTGTACAGCAATCTTTCTCCTCAAACCTACCACCTCTCTCTTTTCTTTCCTTCTTACTTTCTCTTCCTCCCCCTCTTCTTCTCCTCCCTCTTCCTTTCTCCTTCTCCTCCTCTCTTCTTCCCTCTCTTCCTCTCACTCCTACTCTAATTTCCCTTCCCTTCCTTCATCCCTCTCTATTGCTGTATCCTTTTGTGCATATGGACTACTCAGAGGGCTGAAAAAGTTATTTTTGACTGGTCCTCGCACTTTTGACCAGTCCTTGAACTTATGACTATCCTCACATTTTACCTTTTTGCCCTATCTTGTCACCATGATGAAGAGAAGCAGTTGTGAAATGAGTGACACGGTTGTTAAGAATGCCGCAACGGGCATAAATGTGAGGATGATTATAAGTGCGAGGACCGGTCAAAAGTGCGAGGACCAGTCAGAAATGACTTTTTTCAGCCCTCTGTAGTCCCTATGCAGATAGCCACGCCCACCCAGTCACATGACCAGCTAGCCACGCCCATCCAGTCACATGACCACCAAGCCACATCCCCAACTAAGCCACGCCCACAGAACCAGTTGTTAAAAAAATTGAATCCCACCACTGGATAATTTACACCTCAGCCCTAATTTATGTTTGATCTGGATAAACTCCTGCTTTCCAGAGCCAGGGGGCCAAAGTGGCCAATTGAGTAAACAAAGAAATGCTTAAGGATGACTAATTGGGAAGTTTCTATTCCCCCTTGCAGGGCAACAGTCGGTGAGGTGGCTCGGGAGTTCATGGCTTCCATGACGGCCATGGACTTGACCCAGTTAATTTATGGCCCTACTCACATGGGGGGACACACACTGGACCTGGTTTTTGTCTCTGGACAATGGTTGAGTGATCTTGAGATAGGGGATATACCGATTGAACCCTTGTCATGGTCAGATCACTCCCTCCTTCGCCTGGACCTTCGAACTGCCACACCCCGCCACAGGGAGGCAGAACCGACCAGGTGGTTCCGCCCCAGGCGCCTGATGGATCCTGATAGGTTCCAGATGGAGCTTGGGCCATTTCCTGAGGTTGTGGCACACGACTCGGCTGAGGACTTAGTAGCTGCCTGGGATAGGGCGGTTGCTGGGGCTTTGGACCGAGTCGTGCCTTTGCGGCCTCTGACCCGGCGCCGGTCTCACCTGGCTCCTTGGTACACTAAGGAGCTGAGGGAGATGAAGCGCCGGAAAAGACGCCTAGAGAGCAGTTGGAGGGCTAGTCGTTCTGAATCCGACCGGACACTGGTAAGATCTCATATTAAGAATTACCTAGTGGCGATAAGAGTAGAGAAGAGTAACTACTTTTCTGCTCTTATTGTGTCATCAGATAATCGCCCAGCCGCCCTGTTTAGGGTGACCCGCTCCCTGCTCCACCAGGGGGCGCGGGAGGACCCCTTGGAGGGTAGAGCTGAGGATTTTGTACAATATCTGTATGACAAAATTGCTCAGATTCGGGAACAGCTGGACTCTGACTGGGTAAATCCAGGGGAGATGACAGGGGCTGGTCCTGAGAATATTATATGGGAAGAGTTTGATCCTGTGACTTCCAAAAGCGTGGACAGGATACTGAGCAGACTGAGTGCGGCCACATGTTTATTGGACCCGTGTCCCTCCTGGCTGGTGCTGGCCTCCCGGGAGGTTACACGAGGCTGGCTCCAGGGGATTATAAATGCTTCTTTGAGTGAGGGTGTCTTTCCCGCTGCCCTGAAAGAAGCGGTGGTGAGGCCCCTGCTCAAGAAGCCCTCCCTGGACCCGGCTGTGTTAGCAAATTATCGTCCTGTCTCCAACCTTCGCTTTGTTGCGAAGGTTGTTGAGAGTGTGGTTGCACGACAGCTGCCTCAGTACCTGGATGAATTGACTTATCTAGATCCGTTCCAGTCGGGCTTCAGGCCCGGGTACAGCACGGAAACGGCATTGGTCGCATTGGTTGATGATCTCTGGAGGGCTCGGGACAGGGGTTGCTCCTCTGTCCTGGTCCTATTAGACCTCTCAGCAGCTTTTGATACCATCGACCATGGTATCATGCTGCACCGGTTGGAAGGGTTGGGGGTGGGGGGCACTGTTTTACAGTGGTTCTCCTCCTTTCTCTCCGACCGGTCGCAATCTGTGTTGACAGGGGGGCAGAGGTCGACCTTGAGGCACCTTGTTTGTGGGGTGCCGCAAGGATCGGTCCTCTCGCCCCTTCTGTTCAACATTTATGTGAAGCCGCTGGGTGAGATCATCTGTGGTTTTGGGGTGAAGTGCCATCAGTACGCTGATGACACCCAGCTGTACATCTCCACCCCAGACCACCCCAATGATGCCCTCGAGGTGATGTCCCGGTGCCTGGAGGCCGTACGGATCTGGATGGGGTGGAACAGACTCAGACTCAAACCCATCCAAGACCGAGTGGCTGTGGTTTCCGACGTCCCGATATAGTCAGTTGGCGCCATCACTGACTATTGGGGGCGAGTCGTTGGCCCCCACAGATGGGGTTCGCAACTTGGGCGTCCTCCTGGATTCACGGCTGTCTTTAGAAGAGCATATGGCGGCCGTGGCCAGGAGGACTTTTTATCAGGTTCGCCTGATTCGCCAGTTGCGTCCCTTTCTGGATCGGGACTCGTTATGCACGGTCACTCACACCCTTGTCACCTCACGCCTGGACTATTGCAATGCTCTCTACATGGGGCTCCCCTTGAGGAGCACCCGGAGGCTCCAACTGGTCCAGAATGCGGCCGCGCGGATGGTAACGGGAGCGATGTGGTGCTCCCATGTGACTCCCCTCCTGCGCGAGCTGCACTGGCTTCCAGTGATCTTCCGGGTGCACTTCAAGGTTTTGGTTACCACCTTTAGAGCGCTCCATGGCTCAGGACCAGGGTACTTACTTCTGCCACCAGTAGCCTCTCACCGACCAGTTCGCTCCCATAGAGAGGGGCTCCTCAGGGTGCCGTCGGCCAAACAATGTCGACTGGTGGCCCCCAGGGGGAGAGCCTTCTCTGTGGGGGCACCTGCCATCTGGAACGAGCTCCCCCCGGAGATACGGAGGATCCAAGACCTACGCATCTTCTGCCGCGCCCTAAAAACGTTTCTATTCCAACAGGCTGGTCTGGCCTAACTCTCCCTTTTAAATTGGGTTTTAAATGTTTTTAGATAAATTGGATGTCTTAAATTGGTTTTTTGAGCCCAAATTATTTAATTTATTTTTAATAGTTTTTAACTTTTGTTTGTTCTTGTATTTTTATCTTGGCTGTTCACCGCCCTGAGTCCTCCGGGAGTAGGGCGGTATACAAATATGATAAATAAATAAATAAATAAATAAATAAATAAATAAATAAACAAGGAATACACAAACCTAAATTAGGAGGCCAGAATTGGGTACAAAGCTGACGTCTCTGAGGGTATAAAAGGACGCCATACCTTTCCCAAGGTGTGGCTATCTCCTCACATGAATTGTATCTGTATGTTCTGGATATAGTTCCACCCAGTATTTTGTTTTTGGCCATAAATAAATCTGCTTTTTTGCAAGCCTCGTCTTGAGTCTCTCTCTTTGGCATCCTGGTGACTCAAGTGTATTTTGGGACCTTACATTAGCTTCATCATATCTTATAAAAACTCTCCCTTTTTTTTTTTTTTTTGGACTAGGACAGTGATGGCGAACCTTTTGGTCTCGGCGTGTCAAAAATTCAGAAAAAGCCTAACTTGACTCTGCTGGTGTGTCATGTCCTCCCCATCAGACAAAGGAGAATCAATTCTTAACAAAGTGTTCTTTGGGATAGTGAGATGGGCAGCATATAAATGTAATAAACTAAATAAAAACTCACATAATTGCAAATATTTTCTGATTTGTCTTTGCCTATCTGAGGTTGCATGAGGCCTGAATACTTTGGAGAATGCTCTTTGCCTTCTCTGTAAAGAACAGGAAAGCATGTCCCATTCTTGCAGTCTTTTTTGAGGTGCCAGAGGCTCTGTGAAAGCAGAGCCATTTTGCATGATTTCCAGAGGGTCCAGAGGCCATGTGAGAGCATACCACATTCTTTGTCTGGTGTCTGAAGCCCCTGGAAACCACGTGAGAACTTCCTATACTTTTGGGGGGCTGCAGAGGCCACATGAGAGTGCGGTGTGCTCTTACTCAGCCACTTTCACAGTTGGCCAAAGCTGGAACTGCTGTTGGTCGTGAGCTTTTTTGTTCCCCATCATCGCTGCCAAGTATCGGCTGAATCTTGAGGTCTCATGGCAGGTAAGATCATAGGGTGCTTCTCCTCCTCCCCCGCTCCCCCCCCTCCCCCCCCCCCCTTAAAACCTGAAATCCTGAAAGAGCTGGAGTGGCAGCGTTACTGTTTTCTTTTCACTCTCTTGCACTGCATTTTTTTTCCTTTTTGCACCCAATCTGGGTCTTGCAATGTTGGTTGCTTTGGCTGCCTTCTAGTTTATAGCAAAAAAGACCAGGATTTTATCAAAGCGCTGGCGACAGGATTGCATAGATAGAAAGTACAGAAGCTTGTTGCTAGGCATTGCAAGGGGATGATTAAGGAGCAGGAGGTTTGTTTTATTGTTTTGAGACTGTTTTATAGTTATTGGTTTTATTGCCATTGTAAATTGAGGGGCAAATGACATGGATTTTGTAATTTGTTAGTTAATAAGTTATTCTATATTTTACTTTGTGTTTTAAACATAATTACTTTATATTTTGATTTGACTTACTTTTCTCTCTTTTAAAATGTTGATAAGGTTTTATAAAACTATTAGATTGCAATGTAGGAAAATTTTCTATCCTATGGCTATATTGAAGGTCAAATATGGCTTTTTCAGGCTCGTGCCTTGGAATGCATTGAATGCAGATTCTACCTTAAAAGGAGCTCCCAGTAATAAACCATACATATATTGCAACACTGCTATTCATTCCTGATAGGGGGGTCCATCTAAGTAAGTTAGACCCAAGAGCTTCCCCAAAAATAGTTGGACTATTTTTAAATCCTTGGATTAACACAGTCCTATATATCTATATAGCTGCCTCATTCTTGTTCTTCCATCATAAGAAGTTTTTGACTGGTAGATGCATGCTGGTTATCCCCAGATGGAACAAATTTATGTTTTGCATTTAATGGGCATGCAACCTGCCAATGTTCTATTTTCCTGCAAAGAGCGTATTAATTTTTCTTAAGAGGTGCTCTGTTTCCTTGTCCTGGAAATACATTATATCTTTGTCTTCCTAATCCTCTCTTCCTGTCCTTCCTTGGGCCCCTCTTCCAGGAGAATTACTATTCCTACCACTGCTTTGCAAAGCCTGTGCCAAGAATATACCATTCTTTCTTGCATGTACATTTTCCTGCTTCTCTTTCTCTTTATCCCTATTCACAAACACTTTATAAGCACTTTCCACAAGCTGGCTGACTAGAAGAGCCACTGGTCCCTCTAACTTCTGTAACTTTCTTCTAATACCTTCCCATGAACAATATGTTTAACATCCTCTGATTCTCTGGGGCATCGGGATCCAAATCAGAATATTGCCTTGTAGGAAGTTAGCACCCACCCCTTTCCTGGAAGAGTGAAATATTTTAGGAAATATGAAAAAGGCAGAAATATGAGAAGCATATTTTACAGACAAAGCAGCTCCCACCTTCCTGCCCCCCACCCTTTGTCAATGGGCCATTAAGGCCTGGGCCAGTCTACTCTACATAACAAAGATCTGCCTCCTTCAGGCAGAGCCATAGTAGGAATTGTCAAAGATAGGATTAGCCCTCTACACAATAGCAGCAGAAACTCACCACATGTGACCTGGGAAGCACATGTGACCATCAGCCAGCAAGGCCCCCACCCCCTGGGAGTCTGACAACCAATCAGGATACTCTTTCGGGGCCCCAAGAAATGCAGAGCCAGAGAGAGCATAAAAACCCGAGGATTTACTGTATCTCCCCTTTTCTGTTCAGGAACTCAAGCCATGTGATCCTGTCCACCATTAAACCATCTTTCCAAGCAGTCTCCATGTTTCCAGTGTCTGTTTCCCCACTTGGAGCAGAACCTAGAAGGATGTTTCCTCCAACAGCCTCATATTATCACATAAACGACTTAGAAATGAACTTGGGAGTCTCATTAGGAAGTTGTCTAGTTTCATAAATTTTCCCTAAATTTTTCTTCTTTGGAATAGCAATCAGTAAAGCTGCAACTACTCTGTTAGTTCTCAAATCTGCTGGGATGCTTGGATCCCACATAGGCTCTTGAAGGGAAACAAAGCATCTCTAACATTCTCTGGTATCTCTAAACTACCTTTCTCCACAGCCATCCATTTTTCCTCCTCAGTCAGAAAAACATTAAACATAGTTTGTAAGTCATTCCATGTAGGATTATGAGTAGGAACAATACTTCTAAACAATTCAGCCATTTTTGTAGGATTTTTCACTATATGCTGGAATATTATTTTTCCAATTATATAAAATACTGGTGGAAAAAGGCGTATATAGTAACATCCTTTGGGGGGCACCTGCAGGTGACACAACAATTTGCTCCCACAAAGGCAAAAGCCTTGAGTTCCCTCACCTTCGAAACTGATAAGGCAGTTAAGGGGTGGCTCGATCCATTTCAAGGAAATGAGCAAGATGTGGGTATTCTTGAGAGCCACTGTTTGGTGGAGAATCTAAAACACTTGAGGCCACAACTGGGTGGTCCGGGGGTCCCTGCCCCAATCTAGGGACCTCCTGTTGTGGGTCAATTTGAATTTGAATTGGGGCTGCCCCATTTGGAGGGCTATACAATGGTGGGAGAAATTCCAAGGGAGCATCTGGTAAAATACTCGAGTCGTTTAAATGTGGTGCAGATGTTCTCAAAGATGACTTCATTTGAAAAGAATGTCCTTTGTTGGGGTCCACTTTACTGAACATGCTGGCATTAGCTCAATAACTCTATGTTACTACTGACATTTAAAAACAGCTGAGCATACTACTGTTCTTCAAATTTTCCAGACTCCCATAATTCAGTCATAAGAGCAAGTATAACTAACTGGTTTTTCAAAGGTGCATTTAGAAGGCCACAAGTAATTCTTTGGGAGTTTTAATTATGGCTAGATATGCTTACAAAATTTTAACAAGACTTGTCTTTTTTCCCCGCTGGCTGTTAAAAAATTCTGGTATAGACATCCGAGAAGGGTAGAAGTATCTCCACCATCCATTCCTTGCAAGTCTGTCATTCCTGCATTCCCCATTTTAGGCAGTTTTAAAACTTTTGTCTGCTTAATTACTCCTGGGAGCTGAAACAATGAGCGTTCAGCTTTTTTCCTTACTACTTATAGCTATGATCCTTCTAAAGGGCCTTTACACTTCCTTTTATGCTTTTTGCTAGCTTATCTGTAGCTCACAAAGGAAAGTAATTACCATATTTTTCAGACTATAAGACACACCGCACCGGTGTATACGATTTCGAAGAGGTAAGCAAGAAAGAAAAAGGTTTTGCCCTCCCCAGCCCCCAGGAGCACTCTGCAGGCCTACCAAACCCTCTGCGCGCTCCGTTTATGCGAAAAACGGGCCCATTTTTCTCAAAAAATGTTGTAATTCTTTAAGTCAGAGTGATAAATTTAAGAAAATGCACTTGTTTTTTTTATAGACAAGAAGTTGGAAGAAGTGCGTGCAGAGTTTATAAAGCGTGTTAACAAATCTATCATCAACCAACTCTTGGATGTTCTGCTCCATAAGAGAATCATAGATGATGAAGAGGTGGAAGAAGTGAATGCAAAAGATAAGACACAGGACCAAGCAAGAATTTTGATCGATAATGTGAGAAAAAAGGGGCCTGATGCTAGCCAGCATTTTATTTACATCCTTGTGGCCCGAAATACTTTCTTAGCTGAACAACTGGGTCTCCAAAACTTTCCTGCTGGTACTTCTGATCTTACATTCTATCTAGCTTTGGGCCAAAATTACTGGCCTTTCTCCTTAATTTAGTTACTGTGGCCCAGAATCATGCAAAAGCTTTCTGTTATGCCCCAAACTGTTTGGGCTGGTTAGATTTGGCCATATTGGTGTAATAAGTTATTTTGAAAGAAAACTTTACCATAAGATGATATTCCCCTGTTTTTTAGGAGCACATTCTTAAGAATGTTTCTATATCCTAAGATATATAGGTACATGAAATTTGGGTGCTTTCCAGTTTTTAATTAGCTTCATCGTATCTTATAAAAAACTCTCCTTTAATTTTTTTTCAGACTAAGACAGTGATGGCGAACCTTTTGGACTCGGCGTGTCAAAAATTCAGAAAAACCCTAACTTGAATCTGCTGGTGTGTCACACCCTCTCCATCGGATAAAGGAGAAACAATTCTTAACAAAGTGTTGTGTGGGATAGTGAGATGGGCAGCGTATAAATGTAATAAACTAAATAAAAACTCACATAATTGCAAATATTTTTCCATTTGTCTTTGTCTCTCTATCTGAGGTTCCATGAAAATTTGGAGAATGCTCTTGCTTGGCCTTCTCTGTAAAGAACAGGAAAGCATGTCCCATTCTTGCAGCTTTTTTTGAGGCTCCAGAAGCTGGGTGAGAGCAAAGCTGCACGATTTCCAGAGGCCATGTGAGAACATACCACATTCTTGTGTGGTATCTGGAGCCTCTGGAAACCATATGAGAACTTCCCATGCTTTTTGGAGGCTGCAGAGTCCACCTGAAATTGTGGTGGGCTCTTACGTAGCTTCTGCACCCACTGGAAGTCAAGTGAGAGAGTCCTAATCTTACAGGGCCTCTGGAACCTCCAAAAATCATACTAGACATTCTCACATGATTTTCAGGGACTCCAGAGTTTGCACGAGAGCAGGGCCCTATCAAACAACTCCCACTAGATCCAGAGGTAGTGCGAAAGTACACAATATTCTCATGCGGCCCCTAAGCATGTCACAAAAAATGACAGGGTGTGTCACTTGTGACACTTGTCATAGGTTCGCTATCACCAGACTAGACAGTAGTATGGACAAGAAACAGGTCTGCTGCTTTTTTTTCTCAATTGCTCATTTCAACTGAGACTGGATTGGGCAGCCATATACATTTTCTTAAATGAAAAAATAATTTGAAGGGATAGGTCACAAGTTAGGCTACAAGAATCAGAAAGATTGGTAGGCTTCAGTCTGGATGTTAAGCTATCCGCTAGGTTTCTAGTTAGTATCTTGTAGGCTTTCTAGGAGACCAGCAATGTGGAGGAAAGGCCAAGGTCTTAACAGCTATCCTTTGCCAGCATGTTTTTTAGATCTCCGACAGCAGTGGAGTCAATAAACAGGAGGACATGTTTTTTCTCAGGGCCCAGAATTGCTAATTGTTAACTGATTTTTGTTCCTGTTGGAGCTGACAAGAAAACAAGTGAGCTGTGTCCCTGTGATGTGCTATAATTCCCAATGCCCTTCTGACAGGCTGCTAGGAACTGTAATTTAGCAATTTAAAAGGTCCGACTCTGACTCATGTGATATTTAATAATTCACTGTGGTAAAAAAGCTGTAATACCAGATTTTGGAATGTTTGGGGCAGTAGAGTGAGGGACAACAGAGTCAACTGATTTTTCATGGAGTTTTTGAGTAATCTGAAGCCCTTTTCTGACAAATCAGGAAATCCCTTCTTCATATCTCAACATTATCATGAACTCACCGTGAAGTCTTCAGCCTCTCCCTCTTTCCCTCTGTGTAACATGGAGAAAAATAATCCTTTTTTAAACCTCAGTAATAGGAAATCACAAGCCACATGCAGGCTCCCCTATTCCCCAAGTAATGTATTTGACAAATTTCTGAAAGTGAACAGAGCATTCTTTTGAAGAAAAGGAAATAAAGCATCTGTGTGAAATCTTTTCATAAGTTTTGCACAACTTAAGATAATCACTCCAAATACCTGCCCCCCCCCGCCCCAAGGCAGTCCTATCTGCTTCTCTGATGACATTGATCATTGTACACTGCATTTCCCAGACACTGGCAACAACCAACCTACCCACCCACCCACAATGGAAAAAGATCGACCAGTTCAGAACATGCTGGTAGTTCTCTACTTACAACCATTTAGGAACTGTTCAGTTATTTATTTATTTATTATTTATTAATTCAATTTATATGCCGCCTTTCTCCGGAGACTCAGGGCGGCTTACAATGCATTTTTTAAAAAACCATTATAAAAACATTTAAAAATTAAAACATTAAAACCCATTCACACCATTCATGGCCGGATCTCACAAGATCGCAACAGTGAGATCAACGGCCCCAAGCCTGCCGGAAAAGCCAGGTCTTCACCGCTTCTCGGAAGGCCAATAGGGTGGGGGTGGTCCAGACCTCAGGAGGTAACTGGTTCCAGAGAGCTGGGGCAGCCACAGAGAAGGCCCTCCCCCGTGGGCCCGCCAGCTGGCATTGTTTAGCTGACAGGACCCAGAGGAGACCAACTCTGTGGGATCTTACCGATCCCTGGGAGCTATGTGGTAGAAGGCGGTCTCGAAGATAACCTGGCCCTGAGCCATGTAGTTACAATATCACTGAAAAAAATGACTTATATAACTGTTTTTCACACTTACAACCGTTGCAGCATTCCCATGGTCACACAATCAAAATTCAGACGCTTGGCAACTGATTCATATTTACGTCAATTGCAGTGTCTTGGGGTCATGTGATTACCTTTTGCGACCTTCTGACAAGTAAAGCCAATGGGGAAGTCAGATTTACTTTACAGGCGTGTTACTAACTTAACAACTGCAGTGGTTCATTTAACAACTGTGGCCAGAAAGGTCGCAAAATGGGGCAAAGCTCAACTATCTCGCTTAGCAACATAAATTTTGTGCTCAATTGTGGACGTACATCGAGGACTACCTGTAATGTGTCATAAAACATTTCCTGTGCTGATGTTTGACCATGGTATAGAGTTCAATGTGGACTATTCGCAAGGCAGATACATCTCTGAAAGTATCCCAACCTTTCCAGGGAAGACAGAATATTAGAAGCTTTGTCATTGTTGAAGACGTAATGAATTTGCAATGGCAACATCTCTGATGAAAGGATGACCCAGTGGGATCACAGGTTGTCTTGTTCTTCTTTAAAAGTGATTTTTTTTTTTTTTAAATTTGATTTATATGCCGCCCTTCTCCGAAGACTCAGGGCGGCTTACAATGTGCTCAGCAATAGCCTTCATCCTTTTGTATATTTATACAAAGTCAGCTTATTGCCCCCACAAACTGGGTCCTCATTTCACCTACCTTAGAAAGGATGGAAGGCTGAGTCAACCTTGAGCCTTGGCGAGATTCGAACCCATTGATTGATCCAAGGTAATAACAACCAAGTCATAATCAACTCTTTAGGTTGCTGCTGGTCCTTGAAGTGAAAGAAAGAAAACGGATAAGTTTCAGCTATATATTTTTTGCTATTGTTTGGATTATTTAGCAGGCTTTTAATACGAATTATTTACTTAAGGCCTATTTTTGTACTTGTAATTGAATACCATTTTTTTTTTTTGGCTTTAATTTATATGCCGCCTTTCTCCAGAGACTCAGGGCGGCTTACAATGCGTTAAGCAATTTTAAAAGGAGATATCTAAATTAATCCATGGCAAGGAGGCTGTGAGCATTTTGCATACTCAGTCTTTGTGATACTGACAATATTTGATAACGTGACAGTATTTGTGATATTTATGAATTGTTATTGTTACAATATGACTCCTGATGTCTCCTGTCCTTGTCATGTTGTAACAAAGTACAGTATTCTTTGAGAAACCAATTAAATAATCAACTGTTAATATCCTAGCTGTTTTCTCTATGATATGTAGTTTTATTCATTGTGTGTGTGTGTGTGTGTGTGTGTGTGTGTGTGTGTGTGTGTATATGAGAGAGTATTCTTTTATTTGAATATATGTGGAGATTCTCAGACATTCAGCTCATGGTTGTCCCTTCGTTTTTCTTTGAATTTAGTTTAATTTCCCATCCAAGATGCTACTTCAGTTCTGTTCTTTTGTTTGAAGATTTTTATATCTACCTGATTGGTTTGCAACCTAAAAAAAGAAGAGCATAAAAGGAGGGGGGGAAACAAGGGATGGAGACCACAAACCTCCGGTTCTGGCCGGGAGGAAGGGATTCTTCTTATGTCTGCTGACACAGAAATCAGAAAAGCACTGAGGAACAAGCCAGATTTTTCAGCAGTGCCTGGGAATGCCTCAGCTTTCCTTTCCTGCAACTTGGCAGGAGAAATGCTACCGAATAAGGAATGCACTGAGCTGAACATTTCAAACACAGAAAACAGGAGACTGAACCATTTTTAATAAATGTTCAACTTGGAGAAAATCTTATCGATGTGTTCATTAAGAGTGGGAAAACGTTTTGATGGCACATAAACATTCAAAGCAATCCAGAATTCTGAAGGGCAAAAGATACTTTGCCTGTCGACGTGGCTGCATATGAAAGAGGCAATCGCGCCCTCTGCCTCTATTTAATACAGTTTTGCAACGTCCTTCCCCTCTTATTTGGTGAAAATAACAAGCAGCCGAGACCAAAAACTTTATGAAATGTAAAGAGCTCGTTGCATCCAGTGGCTTTCCGCGAAATGGTTGTGTTTCCAGGATACTCCCACGGCGGTTGGGGCCAGCTTTTTCCTGCTGTTCAATTCATGGGCGGGAAAAGGAAACAATGGGTGTGAGTTCTTTCACTTTCAGAATTGCCTCCGAAGCTGGAACTGCTGCTGTGTCTTCAGCTTTTCCCAGTATCAGCTGAGGGATCATGGCAGGTAAGATCATAGATACCTCTCTACACCCCTCCCAGCTTTTTTTTTCTTCTTAAAACCTTAAATCCTGAAAGAGCGGGAGCGGCAGTTTGACTATTTCCTTTTCTCTCTCTTGCGCTGCATTTTTTACATGTACTATGCGAGGAGGGCCTCTTCCTTTTTCCACCCACTCTGGATCTTGCAACGGGCAAAAAAAAATAACTTTATTCCTAAAGCGGGTTTCTTTGGCTGCCTTCCCGTCTATAAGAAAAAAAGATCAGGATTTTAAATCAAGACGCTGGAAGGATCGTATATAGATAGAAAGTACCGGAGGAGAGCAACTGGAGCTGGTTGCAAGGCATCGATTAAGGAGCAGGAGTTTTGTTTCATTGTTTTGAGATTATTTCATAGTTACTGGTTTTATTGTCATTGTAAGCCTCCCAGAGTTGCTTAAGTTGACCGGTCATACAAATCAATCAATCAATCAATCAATAGTGTATGAGTAGGCAAACACAATTGCTTCCTCAGATATGATTAATATAATTCTTTCTCTACATGGTATTCAGCTGAGTTCATTTGCATGATTCAAGTGGAGCGCAAAGAACTATGCTCTCTGAATTACATCACACATCGAGATACATACACAAATTAGCATAGTTTTTATACGCTTTCAGAAAACAAAGGGACACTAATCATTAGCAAGCAGTAGGCAACAAGCAACAAAGCACAGGTAGTCCTCGACTTATGATCACAATTGGGCCCAATATTTCAGTTGCTAAGCAAGACAGTTAAGTGAATTTTGTCCCATTTTACAACTTTTCTTGCCACATTTGTTAAGTGAATCTCTGCAGTTGTTAAATTAGTAACCCGGTTGTTAAGTGAATCGGACTTCCCCATTGACTTTGCTTGTCAAAAGGTTGCAAAAGATTATCACATGACCCTGGGACACTGCAACTGTCATAAAGAGGAACCAGTTGTCAAGCATCTGAATGTAAATGACGTGATCATGGGGAAGCTGCAATGGTCATAAGTGTGAAAAATGGTCATAAGTCACTTTTTTTGTGTCATTGTAACTTCAAACAGTCACTAAACCAATTGTTGTACGTCAAGGATTTTCTTTATTCACAACTCCTGGTAGAAGATGGCCCTCCCAGAAGTTGGGTTCATTACTATAATATTACAACTCTCATCCTTCTGTCCCTAACTGATAACTAATCAGTCAAAACTTTATAGTTAATTTATCTGCAACAAGGAGAATTAACCCTGAACCAACTGCTGGCTTGGTATGAGTTCCTTGATGTGGCTATTTATGTAGCTTTCCAGGAATTTTAGGACAACCGTTGTGAGAGCCAAGAATCTTCTTCTTCCTAGCATATTCTGCTTCCTAGCCAAGTGCAGGGTCTGCTTGTGTGACGGCCAAGAATGAGAGGCCCAAAATGAAAACATCTAAGAGCAAAATTCAAACAGGATACTATGTCCTGTATAACATCACAATGACTTATGATGCAGTAATTGGAAGTCAAGACCTTTCCTGCTGCCTCTAGTACAGGAGTGTCAAACTCACGACCTGGCCAGATGCATCATGTACTGGCCACGCTCCCGCCCAGTTTAGCAAAGGGGGGGAAAGTCCTGATACCTCATGTGATGCTGCCGTGATGAAGCGAGTTTGATACTCCTGCTCTAGTATTAGTATACTAGAAAAAAGGAATCCCCATACAGTATTTATGAGATGTCTCAGAATGAACAGATCTGAAATTAATCATGCAGGGCCTGCAAGAACCAACTTGCCTGCTAACTTCATGTTTTGGCATTCACAAGGCTCTTGGCTCCACCTGCTTTTTTTATTCTGCTTCTTTTGAATGAATGACTGGATGGGTAGGTGGATGGATGGACACTAGGCTCTGGGCCTAGTACATGTTCTTAGAAAATCAAAATGTGGAGGTGACTGCAACTCAGTGTTTGGTCCGGTAGTGAGCCTGCATGTTAAGGATTCACCAGTTTGCCTTCAAATAAACGGTGGTAGTGATTGCCCATTAATGTAAACTATTTGCAATTGGGCAAACCTTCCTCCATGATTTGTTGGCGTCTACAGCAGTGTTTCTCTAGCTTGCTGACTGGGAGATTCTGGGAGTTGAAGCTGTCAAGGTTGAGAATCTGAAAGGTGGCAAGGCTGAGAAACACTGCTCTATAACATGCTCTAAAGATTTCAAATGTTCATTCCAACCCAAAGATTGGGGATTCCTAGCAGAGACAGTGTAGTTTGGAGCAATACATTGGACCAATGAATTGACTCAGTATAAAGTAACTTCATACACAGATCCTACCTGTTGCTCTTCAGGGAAGAGGTTACCCTCCACACCTGATGTTCATTTACCTCACTATTCTCTCTCACTTGAGCCATGGCTTTCCACTTCAACATTAGTCAAGTCTGATTGACCATAAAGGGAAAATATTCCTTATTTTTTCAGGACCTACAGTAGCAGCCAAATGCAGAGGACAACTCAAATTAAGATGGGACTTATTCTACACTTTCACTGAATATCTTTAAGTGATAAGGAATGGATATCTACATTTCCTTTCTCTCCTGCAAACAAATTTCAGTTTTCCTGCAGTCATTTATTCCTATCTTTTGTTAGTAATATCGATCAAAGTATTTGGCTATACAGTAGGGAAAGAAAAAATCGAGCCCTTTTCATATAACATGTTTACTGAGTTCCTGAATTAACCTGTTTTCTGTGCTTAACTAAAGAATAATAAATTAACCAAAATGTACAGCTATTACATCCTAAACTAAAAAAGCAAACTCGCATTGACATTAGACAAGCTTAGCATATCGCACAAATCAGCTACTGGTGGTATTTAACTGTTATAGGAACAATATCTGAGCATGTGTGTGTATATAAGGGATTGTGATTAGATAGAGTCCAGCATCACTTTTTTCACTTTCTGCAGAATCCTATGCTAATTTAATAATAAATAAAATCCAGTCATTGGTCAGGCTTAACCACTTAAGGGTTCTCTGGGCAGAAAAACGAGCTAAGTAATCTAGCTTCCCCAGGGGGCAGTTTTTTGCCAGAAGTTAGCAAAAAAAAAAAAAAGGTAGCAAATTACTATCACTTGACTGCAGGATGCTACAACCCACAAATTTTATAAAATAAATAAATAAAATAAACCAATTGTAAATACAAGCAGGTTGCCAATTGCCCGAACTGCAATCACATGAGTGCAGAGGTTGTTCAACAATCCTAAATGTGCATGAAGGTGATAAACCAATTGTTCCTGTTAAGGATATTGTGACTTTGAACTGACTTAAGTCAAGGACAATCTGTATCTCAGTAAAGTTGTAATTCTTCAAGTCAGAGTGATAAATTTAGAAAAATGCACTTGTTTTCCTTACAGACAAGAAGTTGGGAGAAGTGCGTACAGAGTTTATACAGCGTGTTAACAAATCTATCATCAGCCAACTCTTGGATGATCTGCTCAGTGAGGATATCATGGATGATGAAGAGGTGGAAGGAGTGAATGCGAAAGATAAGACACAGGACCAAGCAAGAATTTTGATCGATAATGTGAGAAAAAAGGGGCCTAAGGCTAGCCGCCTCTTTATTGACTTCCTCCTGGCCCGAAATCCTTGCTTAGCTGAACAACTGGATCTCCAAACCTTTCCTTCTGGTACTTGTGATCTTACAGTATATCATCTAGCTTTGGGCCAAAATTACTGGCCTCTCCCTAATTTAGTTACTGTGGCCCAGAATCATGCAAAAGCTTTGTGTTGTGCCCCAAACAGTTTGGGCTGGTTAGATTTGGCCATATTGGTGTAATAAGATATTTTGAAAGGAAACTTTACCATAAGATGATATTCCCCTGTTTTTTAGAAGCACATTCTTAAGAATATTTCTATATACTAAGATATAGGTACATGAAATTTGGGTGCCTTCCTATTTTTAATTAGCTTCATCATATTTTATAAAAACTCTCCCTCCCCCCTTTTTTTTTTTTTTTTGGACTAGGACAGTGATGGCGAACCTTTTGGTCTCGGTGTGTCAAAAATTCAGAAAAAGCCTAACTTGACTCTGCTGGTGTGTCACGTCCTCCCCATCAGACAAAGGAGAATCAATTCTTAACAAAGTGTTCTTTGGGATAGTGAGATGGGCAGCATATAAATGTAATAAACTAAATAAAAACTCACATAATTGCAAATATTTTCTGATTTGTCTTTGCCTATCTGAGGTTGCATGAGGCCTGAATACTTTGGAGAATGCTCTTTGCCTTCTCTGTAAAGAACAGGAAAGCATGTCCCATTTTTGCACCCTTTTTTGAGGCTCCAGAAGCTGGGTGAGAGCAGAGCTGCACAATTTCCAGAGGCCATGTGAGAACATACCACATTCTTGTGCGGTGTCTGGAGCCTCTGGAAACCATGTGAGAACTTCCCATGCTTTTTGGAGGCTACAGAGGCCACAGTAGATTGTGGTGTGCTCTTATGCCACTTCTGGACCCAATTCCCAATGCCCTTTGGACAGGCTGCTAGGGACTGTAGTTTAGCAATTTAAAAGGTTCTACTCTGGCTCATGTGATATTTAATAATTCACTGTGGTAAAAAAGCTGAATATGGTGTTCAACTTTCTTCCATCTCCAGTTAGCCAGCCAATAAAAGGTAACATCTCAGAGGAAGAGGTCCAGTTCCTAGAATCTAAAAACGGGATCAGGCTTTGTCCTCAGAATGTATTTCAGCAAATACAGACTAATGAAGGCAAAGAGGTGAGTTGGCAGACCTAGTTAGATCTATCCAAGACTTGAGCTTAAATACTGCACTTTATTGCATGCAGCAGTTGCTATAAAGGTAGCCACAGATGTGAACTGAAAATTCATCTTTTGTAGCAGAAATTTTGAATATATCTTAAATTCTCCTCAACTTGGCTTTTAGAAATATTACCTTGTTTTATTTCTAAAGCAAAACAAAACAAAAAAAAAAGACCTGGGAATCTTCTATGGTTCCATATCTAACACAAATAAAACAGATAACATGAAATTAAGGAAGGTTTAAATATAATGTGACCACAATACCTTCATTGGCTTTAAAGTAGACAACCAATGGAGTAGCTTGCCTTCAGAAGTTGTGGGAGCTTCATCACTGGAAGCTTTCAAGATGTAACCAGACTGCCATCTGTCAGAAATGGTGTAAGGTCTCGTGCTTGGATGGGGGGTTGGACTAGATGACCTACAAGGTTCCTTCCAACTTTGTTAATCTGTTATGTCTGTACACTTAAATATCTGGAGGTCCTGAGAGATTGAACTCATGGACTTTGTGGCTTCACAGAATTGCCATGCCCTCTGAATATTTGCTGCTGGTTACATGAAGGGGAAGGAAAGGGAAGTCTTGCCTTCAAATCAGGCTTGTGGGTTTCCTCAAGTGCCTAGCCACCCACTATGCAAACAGGGTCTGATTTAGCAATTTTATTTTTATAGTTAAGTGGAACAAATCTTCAGATTCAAATAATCTCTGAACACTAAATTCTGAGTAGTTATCTGTTAGCCTTGTTTGTAGATTTTGCAACACCAACAAGATCATTCAAATGTTATCGAACTAGTTTCTAGGATCCCCCACCACTGGCTAAAATTGATAAGAATTGGGAGAGCCCTAAACTAGATGGATGCTTGGCATAACTATAGTTCAGGATAAGAACCACTTTTCTTTCCCCATGCAGATCTACCCTATCAAGGATCCCAAGACTCGTACGCGCCTGGCCTTGATAATCTGCAATATCAAATTTGATTGCTTGGGTTATAGAAAGGGGGCTGAAGTCGACTTGGAAGAGATGAAGCTTCTCCTAGAAGATCTGGGATACAATGTGGAAACAGAGACCAATTTAAGCTCACAGGTTAAAAAAAAAAAAAAAGCTTATTTCACAGAGTAAAATTCAATTTGTTACTCAAGGAAAAATTCTAGTGAAACCTAAACATTGAAGGAATGGGTGTGGAGGTTTTGATTTTGCCCGTTAATATGTGTATTAATTCTAGCCGCCCATAGTTAGTTGACAGCTTCAAAATTGAATAAAGTGTGGCAATCTTGTTAAACTACCTATACAATAATATTTAGCATAGATGTAGAAAATGTGGATGTTTTAAATTATAAAGCCAGCAAGCCCTGGCTCATGGCCATGCTGATTGGAGTTGATGGGACCTCAATTCCAAAGAACTGTAGGTTATCAAGTTGTTTATACCTAGTTTAGTATAAGGAAAAATGTGCCTGAATTGATAATTGAACTTCTCTCCTGGATTAATTTTTTTTTATTTCAACTGCCAGCATGTTGCTTCTTTTTCATCTCCCATAATTGTTTCTCCAAAAAAACAGTTGGGGAGGCTAGCTTTCCAGAGAGAATATACTACTATACTGGCCAGGAGGTTTTTTTTTCCTTCAGTAGAACATAATGAGGTCAGCCTTCCATTCAGCTGTGAAGATAGGACCCATCACCATATTGAAGATTTGTGTCAGTGTTCACAGTTCTCAGATATGGAGATTTGCTGCACAGCCCTCCCATTCAATCTAGAGAGAAAAAGCTAGTAATTGTTTATGCACTGAATTTTTGCTAAGCTTAAATAATAATTTAAATCTAGTGCAATTGCAAGAAGGCTATTCTTGCAATTGCAAGAATAGCCTTCTCAATTCTAATGAGTACAGAGTTAGTTAGAAACTCCATTTCCACTCCTGACCACCTTCCTTTTTCATTGCTTTCAGGGTATAACCACTTGCTTGAAGAATTTTGCAGCACGGAGAGAGCACAAGGCTTCAGATGGGATGTTTGTGGTACTGATGTCTCATGGCTATCAGGACAGCCTTTGTGGAGTCCACTCAGAAGACAAAGATGTTGACATCTTCTCCATCAAAACTATCTTCTCCACCTTCAACAACATGAATTGCCCAGCTTTGAGGGGAAAGCCCAAGGTGGTCATTATTCAAGCATGTCGTGGTGGTAAGTAGCTGAAGTTGAGATCTGGGAGGAGAGAAGGCAGACAAGTGTTTGGCAGGAACATATAGTCTCTTGCACGTAGTCTTAACTAGACCAAGCAACTTCTAGATCAGGGGTGGGGAACTATGGCCCTTTTATGACTTGTGGATTTCAGCTCCCAGAATTCCTGAGTCACCAATGCTGCCTCAGGAATTCTGGGAGTTGAAGTCCACAAGTCATAAAGGGGCCATAGTTCTCTACTTCTACTCTAGACCAACATTTTCTTTCAGCAACCTGATTTGTAGATTTGCTGATTGTATTTATCTCCACAAGACTTGTGATCTTCATGTGTGTTGGAATAATGATTTTCCACAAATGGCAAAAGCTAATTTTGAACCTTATCGTAAACCTTTGCAGTTCACCTCATTGAAACCTCTCAGGAACCAAAAGCTACGCTGTACTTTAATGATGATCATAAAGCCTTGTCCGAGTAACCTCTCTTCTGTTTTGATAATGATTGTTGATTCCCCCATTTTGTTTCTCCAGACCAACGAGGGTACAAGGTGGAAAACGTGGAAGACTCAGCTGCATCTGCTGCTGCCTCTCTCCAGTCTGATTCACACATCACCATGCAATTGCAAGCTGATGCCGTTCAGAGAGTACATGTGGAGAGTGACTTGATCTGCCTATATTCCACCACCCCTGGTAAGAGACTGTTAAAAGAAAATTGCTAAGTAGGGGTCCAAAGCAGGACAGAAATACAGGCATTTAGTTCACAAAGCTGTCTGTCCAAGATTGGCAACTAATCAACTTAGAAAACCTGATCTGGACCTCTTTGCTAAGTATCAGAAATTCTCTGGCATGCTCACTGCAAAAAGCCTAGTCATTCAGTCATTCATTTATAAGATTTTTATCTCACCTTTATTATTTTGTAAGTAACTCACAAAGAACATAGTAATACTCCTTCCTCCTCTTCTTTTTCACAACAACCCTGTGAGGTAGATAGATTCGCGGATTTGACAATATTTTGAACCACATCCCACCCAAAGAGGTTGCGTCTCTCCAATAAGTTAAATTATCAGAAATCTGATCAGCATGAACAAAGATGAGTATGTAGTATGAACTAACCTCGTTGTATAGTAACTGAACCATAAGCTATCCAGTCCACCTGCTAAATCCCCTTAGGCCTTGGGCCTGCTTCCCACCTACTCATATCTATTGTACCCTTAACTTTTGAAGGTCTCCAGACCTCATATTGGAGAAGGAGGGCAGGCCACTCATCCCTGGGCCACTTGGCTGCCTCCGGGAAATAGTTGCCATTTTTGGCACACCCACAATTTCTTGAAGTCATACCGAAATTGTGGCCACTTCTGCAGATGGAGCACTCCATTCTGCTTCCCTAATATTGTCTGCACAGTGCTGAGAAAACCTTTAGAGATCTTTAAAAGGTAAGTGGATAATGGGAGATTGGGAGGAGGCCAAGCCCTGTGAGGGACCCGAGAGAAAACCTGTGGGTCCTTGGTGGAGGAGGGAAAGTAGGCCCAAGGGCTGTAGGGATGACAAGGAGCAGGAATGGAGCATAAGGGTTCTTAGGGATGGGGGAGGTCTTGGAAGGCCAAAGACAGGAGGGCCTTCCCCACCCCTGAAGCTCTTCTCTGTTTAACGATCCACATGTTGATATGACTGCATCAGGGAGAGCAGGGGATGATGGTTGTTACGTGAGGCCATCTCGCTCAACGGCCATCACCACTTGCAAAGGAAATGGGCAGGCTCCATTACTGTCATAGGTCAAAGACTATCTGTATAGGTTTAAAGTTTGTTAGGTAGAGAATGAAGTCTGATATTGTTAAGAATCATTATTGCTTAATCATTGTTGTCTGTTTAGATCATGTATCCTGGAGACACCCTAAAACTGGATCATTCTTCATCATCCAGCTAATAGATACTATCAAGAAACATGCCTGGAATTGCAATTTGGAAGAGGTCTTCCGGAAGGTAGGTCTCCTCAGGTCTTTCTACACAAGGCCGGCATCTTTGGAATGAAGTTCTTTTGTTAAAGACCCACTTTGGAATGGCATTAGGAGCCGTGATGGCGCAGTGATTAGAATGCAGTATTGCAGGCTAACTCTGCCCACTGCCAGGAGTTCGAACCTTACAGGCTCAAGGTTCACTCAGCTTTCCATCCTTTAGAGGTCAGTAAAATGAGGACCCAGATTGTTGGGTACAATATGTTGATTCTGTAAACTGCTTAGCAAGGGCTGTAAAGCACTATGAAGCGGTATATACTTGTTGTGTATATACCTTTTTTTGCTAGTGGAATAATGTAACAGAATCGTGAAAACCTAACAAAGTATTTTTCCCTGTACAATATATTTAAATCTAGAGTGGAATGGAGTGGAGTGGAAGGGGAGGGGAGGGGAGAAGAGAAAGAGAAAGAGAAAGAGAAAGAGAAAGGAGAAGAGAAGAGAAGAGAAGAGAAGAGAAGAGAAGAGAAGAGAAGAGTTTTATTGGCCAAGTGTGATTAGACACACAAGGAATTTGTGTCCGGTGTATAAGCTCTCAGTGTACATGCAAAACAGCAAAGTAATAATAATCATAATAACAAAGTTTAGGTAGTCCTGTTGTTAAGTGAGACATTCTAAGTGAATTTTTCACTAGTTTATGACCTTTCTTGCCACACTTGTTAAGTGAATAACTGCAGTTGATAAGTAGGTAACACGGTTATTAAGTGAATCTGACTTCCCCATTGATTTTGCCTGTCAAAATGTTACAAAAGGTGATCACGTGACCTTGGGACACAGCAAAGGTCATAAGTAAATCAGTTGCCAAGCATCTGAATTTTGATCACATGATCATGGGGATGCTACAATGGGTGTAAGTGTGAAAAATAGTCATGGGTTACTTTTTTCAGTGCCATTGTCACTTTGAATAGTCACTAAACAAACTGTTGTAAGTCAAGGACTACCTGTAATAATAATCACAGTAATGAGGTAGTGGAACAGATGAGAAGGATAATAGCAATACAGCCATACTACATGATTCAATATACTTAGACATACTTAAGATGGAGTTACTCTGAGTCTGTTTCTCATGCTTCCCTCTCATTCAAAAATGTGTTTTGTAACAGACCCATTTCCTACTTTAAGATCTTCCTGCTTCCTCTGTGTTTCAAGGTCTATTAAGCATTCCATCATAAGAGTCCTGTAAGACCTTTTAAGACTAAACTTTATTTTAAGCGATAAGCTTTTGTGAACTGGAACTCATTACATCAGGACCATGGAGTCACCTGATTGATGTGGCATTTAAATAGATTGGGATGAGATGAGGGCAAAAGAAAGGTGGTTATGCAGATGAAGATTACATGTCAAACACCTATCAACTAATAACTAATATGCTATGCCATAAGATACAATCATTAGTTTTAAAAGTTGTCAATTGATTCTTTCTGATTTTGCCTACTAGTATAGTATAGCCTTTATTGTCATTGTACATCATTTATACAACAAAATTGGTTATTGTAGTCTAATCTGATTCTTCTACAACAGGGGTGTCAAACTATTTCATTGAGGGCTGCATCAGGGTTGTGTTTAGCCAGGCGGGCATGGCCGGCTTGCACAGTCTCCTCGAGCTCTGTTATTGCTGGCAGAGGGCTGCAGGACGCTGTCGTGGCCAAAAACGGAGTCTGGGCGGACTGCATGCGGCCTCCCTGAGCTTCGTTTTCACTGGCAGAGTGCTGCAGGAGTCTCTCACAGCTAAAAATGGAGCCTGGGAGGGCCACACATGGCTGGCATGTTTTCACTGGCAGAGGCACAGCGGGCTGGTCCTTCTCCCGTGCCGGAGCGGCACTGCGGGCCAGATCTAAGCATCCCGTGGACCGGATCCAGCCCACGGGCCTTGAGTTTGACATCCCTGTTCTACAGTGTCTAGTTAGTAAAGTGAGCATGTATAAGCTGATAAAATATTACTAATTTTTAGATGGGGCTACTTGACTTTCTTGGACATGCACTCACCAGCTTTTCTTTCTGTACCTTCCATATTACAGGTGATGGACCATTTTGCAAGCAACCCATGTCAGATGCCCTCAAAGGACAGAACCACCTTGACCAAAAAATTCTACCTCTTCCCGGGACATTGAAGCCAGGTAAGTGTTTCTTCCTGTAGCTGTAATATCCGATTTTGGGATATTTGGGGGCAGTAGAGTGAGGGACAACAGAGTCAGCTGATTTTTTTTGGAGTTTTTGGGTAAATCGGAAGCCCCTTAGTGACAAATCAGGAAATCCCTTCTTCATATCTCAATATTATCATGAACTCACTGTGAGATCTTCAGCCTCTTTCCCTCTGTGTAATATGGAGAAAAATAATTCTTTTTTAAACATCAGTAATAGGACATCACAAGCCACATGCAGGCTCTCCCATTCCCCAAGTAAATATTCCCCTATTCCCCAGCAACCAGGGGCTGGTTGCTGAGTGCCTGGCAACATGACCTCAGGGTGGCCCAGATGTTGAAATTTTGGATTTGGGTCATAAAGAGCTTTTTCAGGGTCCAAGAGACCGGTCAAAAGTTGAGACTACCTGTATACTTGTATGTGGTATACTATCAGACACTGCATATCATCTATATATACTTTAAATTTATATAAATAAAAATATAAATGTCCATTTGTACATAACCGCACATCTCTGAAAGTTCTTCACCGATTGCTTTCAAATTTTGACACAACGTTGCATTCAACTACGGGCATGTTTTTATATACCTATATTATATACATGTCACACCTGTGACAGGTAAAAACATGGAAAACTTTGGAAAACATTGAGAGACATTGACAAACATTGAAAAACAGCGCCATCTGCTGGATGTAAAACCAACATGGCAGCCTCCCAGCCCTGATTACGCTCAACAGATTTCTGCTCTGTATATTTAGACTCTCCATATTGCTTCCAAGAAACTGCGCATTTGGAAGGCAGAGACGCCCGAGAGCCATATCCTGCCACCAGGCTCGGCGGGTGGGCAGCCGGCTCCCCGCTAGGAAGCCCTCGTAGCCAGCGCTTCTAGGGCTAGGCGGGGCCCACCCGAGCCTGGCTCTGACCTCCCATTCCCACTCCCCCGCGAACTAGCTTCACCCACCGCTGCTGCCCATCCCTGCCAGCCGCTCTCGGGGCTCCCTCCAAAGAACACCTGGCAATGAGGCTGCCTGGGTCCGCCGAGTGGCAACCCTCCATCCCTCGCCTGGCCCGAATCGCACCTGGCCCAGCGCTACCACGGGCCCCGAGGTCAGAAAGACCAGCTGCTAACCGTTGCTATGCGAATCTGGTCAGTGAGCGGGAGATGGAGGCAATTGGAGCCTTGGGGTCGCCTTTGACCAGCACCGCCTTTGATTCCCAGGTGGGCGCTCTGGCAGTTCACGGAGCCTACACGAAAATTTCGGCCTCTGGCAGAAAAGGGGCTCCGGGGAGGCTTTGGGGGGCGGAAACGGGCAGGAGGGAGGATGGCCGGCCCTCCTTCATTTCGCCTGGAAGAGCAGGGGATTTAATCATTCCCCTGCCCTTGGCAGGCAGGGGAGAACTGCGCAGCAGGGGTCCAGTGGGGTATGCGTGGCTCCTGGCTTTGCCGCTTTCTTCCTTCGGGCGGGAAGCCCCAAACCAGCCTCGAATCCCTGCCGTACCCCCTCCCTCCCTCCCTTCCCTTCCCTGCTATGTGTCTCCCCATCGAGCCCTCAGAGAACATCTGTGTAGGGAGGATGGAGAGGGCCCCCAAGTTTCTGCTGTGGTGCGGAGAGCTACGAAGGCCTGGCCTGAAAAGGTAAGGGCGATGGCAGGGGATGCAGAAGAGGCCGTGCCAGAGACAGAGATAAACAGAGAGAGAGGGAGAGAGAAACATAGAGAAATACAGAGAGACGGGGGGGAGAGAGACACATACAGAGATACAGAGAGAGAGGGTGGGAGAGAGAGATACAGAGAGGGGAGAGAGAGAGACATAGAGAGATACAGAGGGGGGGGAGAGAGACATACAGAGAGAGGGGGAGAGAGACACACACATAGAGAGATACAGGGAAGAAGAGAGACAGAGATACAGAGAGAGGGGGGAGAGAGAAACACAGATACAGGGGGGGGAGTTGAGAGACAGAGGGATACAAAGAGAGAGGGGGAAACAGAGGGAGGATTTTGTGGTTCTCATTGTTTTTTAGCAACTGGTTCTCTGCCCTAATCACCAGCTGGGTAGGCGTGGCTCGGGGGCTGTCATGTGACTGATGAAAGTGAGTGATGTCGAGTTGGCCACGCCCACCAAATGTTCGTGGAGAGTTTGGAACTTCAGCTTCGCTCTTTTAGCCCAGCGGAAGCACCAGACTGGGTCACAGCAACGCGTGGCCGGGTACAAGCTAGTATTTAATATAGATAACAAATATTGATGTAAGGAATTACAGTATGTATGACATAAGGACCTAGACATTCTTTTAAGTGTTTAATCACAATGTTAAGTAGCCGAGTTGAATAATTGCGTGATAACAGGGGTGGACTTTTGTTCTGTTTTACAGTTTTTATTAGCTTATAATAAAAAATACAAAAATAAAAGGAGCAAATAGTAGGAAACAAAAGGGAGGGAAAGGGGAAGAGAAAAGTATAGAAAAGAAGGGGGAGAAAGATGTTGACTTCCAACTCCCTCAGATGCAGAAGAATAACGCATTAATATCAAACCTCAATTTTTTAGTTTTTCATAATAGTATAAATTAGCTATTTGTATAACAACAAATCTATCTAAACAGTAAAACCCCAAATCAAAGTTTCATTCTTTTCCACCTCAAGCACAAAGTCAAAAAACAGTTTCCAAAATAAAAGTATTTATTCTTTTCTTTGATCAAAACAGTCAAATTAGCCATGTCTGCTAATTCCATCAACTTTTGCAGCCATTCGTCCATTGTGGGAATCAAAATGTCCTTCTATTTTTGTGCATAAAGTAATCTTGCTACCAACAACACATATAACATCAAAGTTCCAAGTTTTTTTCCAAGTTTTTTTTTCTATTAAGCCCAAAAGAAAAGTTTCTGGTTTTATCTTTATATTCACTTTAATAATTTTCTGTAATACAGTAAAAGTCCTATTCCAGTATTTCTTTGCTTTATCACATGCCCACCACAAACGGTAAAAGTCCCTTCTTTACATTTACATTTCCAACATTCATTTGAAATACCACTCTACATTCTGGATAACTTCTCTGGTGTTAAATACCAGCAATACATCATCTTACAGAAATTTTCTTTTATGTTATAATTATAAAACCTTTTGTCCACATATTTTCCCATTAGTCAAGCATCACATTATATCCAAAATTCCTTGCCCACTGAGACATACCATACTTTACATGCTCATTTTCCAAATTCAATTTCAATAACATTAAGCACTAAGTCCAGAAGCAGTTTTCAAGTAGAAACAAAAGTACTAATTCTTTTCTTTGATCAAAACTGTCAAATTAGGCATGTCTGCTGACTCCATCAACTTTTGCAGCCATTCGTAACATTGTGGGAATCGAAATGTCCTTCCATTGTTGTGCATATAAAATAATCTTGCTACCATCAAAATATATAACATCATCTCTGTTAACAGAGATGACTTAAGGAAAATATCTTCTGAATTTCTAGCTGGGATTTTAAAGATTCAACCTGAGGAAGTGTTTTGTAGGATTGATAGAGCTTATCGAATAAACTCCTGGACTGCCAAGCAAAGGCAATTGCCTAGAGATGTGGTAATCTATTTTTCAGATAAAGAAATTAGGAATAAAATTGTGCAAAATTCCTTCAATTCTAATTTGCAATTGTATGGAAGAAAGATTTGGATTTACAAGGAACTCCCACCTAAGATACTAATGGAAAGGAAGAAATTTGGCTTTCTGGTGTCTGAGTTAAAAAGGAGAAATATTCAATTCCGGTGGGACGTCCCAGTTGGTATTATATTGAGATATCAAGGAGAAAGATACCAGTTAAATACTGTTGAAAGGGCGGAAGAATTTTATCAAAATAGGTTGAAAATGAATTTAACGTCTTCAGATATAATACAGGATAAGCAGAAGGAGCTGGAACTAAAGACAGAGACTGTACCAGATAAATTGCCTTTGGATTTATCGGATACCCCAGTTGGATTATCTACAAATTTGAGAGAAGTGCCATCTGATTTTAATGTGATGACTTATCAAGGCAAGGACAAGCATGGAAACCAATTAGAGGATATACAAGGGATAAAAAAGAAATGCGAGACACAAAAAATTAGGATGGAGGTCAAACCCACAAAAAGAAAACAAAAAAAGAAATAGGTTGTACAAAAATAGAAATTTCTAACCCAAGCAACAGTGAAGCCAGTGATTTCAAAATATGAATGATTATGTGAAAACATAGAGGAGGCGACATATTGGTCAATATCATCCTGAGGATAGTGGCAGATCTCTGCATTGCCGTAATTTTGGGACATGGAAAGAGCCTCAAATTGATGGTTTTGAATTATCTATTTTGAAACTTCTTTTTGTGTTGATAAATATATTATAATTATCTTGAATTATAAGGCAAGAGAATCACATTGGGACATGCAGAAGATCGGGTTGTTACCCAATACGATGATGGAAATTAATAATCCTGATGAAACCCACAATTATTATTATATGGAATACAATTATAATGTCACTCGGGTGGTTGTTTTTACTTTTATATATATAAGAAGATGTTTACTACTGATGGGGGCAGATATGATTGGAGATCTTGAATAAACTGTTGCATCCGCAAGCTATGTCACCCTATTATGGATGTTGGTTTTAACAATCCAGTGGAAAGACTTCAAGAAGATATTATATGGACTATAAATTTAAAGTTATTGTCTTTTCTTTTTTTATTTAGATATAATGGAATATATATATATATATATTTTTAAGTAGTGTGGGCAGTGAATTAAAGATATCAAGAATTGTTGTGTATGGTAAATTTGTAAGACAGTGGGTGAATAAGCTAGCTACAGATTGATTAGTTTAAGAAAAGGGATTTTTAAGTGATACATTTAGGGGAGTGGAGGAAATGGATAGAGTGGAATAAATGTTAAATTAGATTTTATGGGGAGCCCGCTTTGAAATGTTATTAAAGTAGGACTTATTGTATAGTTTTAAAGTGGAAGGTGGTTTTGAATTGTTGCAATAATGCATAGATATAAAACACCATTATGCTAAATTAGAGTTATTTCATAATAGTTATAGTATAATGTGTTTGTTTTTTTTTTGTTTTTTTTTTTCTCTTCTTCTTTTCTGAAATGTATGGATAAAGGGGGATTTATAATACTCTTAGTAAGTAAAGGTCAGTATTTTGAGGAGGGAGTAAGTAATCTGTTATGAATTAGGGTTTTTTTTTGTTACGAAGAAGTCACAGGGGGGGAAGGGTGGGGAGGGGGGGTTAGGGAGGGGGGGAGGGGGGGAAAAAGGGGGAAAAATTTGTATTTGAAAACCTTTTCAATAAAAAAAAAAAAATATATAACATCAAAGTTCCACATTTTTCCCCAAGTCTTTTTCCGTCAAACCCTTAACTCTTTTTATGTAATTTAAATCTTTCTTTCAATTGTAAGTATGTAAACCAATGGCAGACATGACCTTCTGATTCCAACTCTTCCTTAGACTTGAGGGTGGGGTCACCAAAATTAAAATATATTATTTTACCATAAGTCCACGGTTCCGGCTTCGCCACTGTTTCTTTTCTGAAAAAAGGCTTCCTGGGAGGACACCCAAAGAGGCATCTTCGTAGAAAATCTTGTTTTGTATTTATTCCAAACTCTTGGCATGGCACTGCTAACAAAATGGTTCTTAAAATCAACATTTACTTTAACTTTGTCATACCACTTTGCCATCCAAGCCATAATTCATGACCTTCTAAATCAAGTGGCATCTTGTTCCAGAGGTTCACCCACTCTTTTAGCCAGACCAAACAAGAAGCATCAAAATACAGTTTCAAATCTGGTAAATCTCAACCTCTTTTTCCTTAGCGTCTTGCAGTAGTTTATATCTAATTCTTGGTTTTTTCCCTTGTCATGTAAACTTGAAAATATCCCTCTGGGATTGTTTGAATGGAAGTGTGGACTTTTATTATACTTTGGGGGGCATTATTGTATAGTTTTAATGTATTGTGTGCCACTCAGTTATACAAGCAGCATAAGCCATATACTGTAAATTTTTAAATAAATAAATAGCTGCTGCTCATTCTTTTTCTTCTTTTTCTCAGATGAAGGAGAAACTACTGGACCCAAAAGCAGACAATTTTCAGATATATAGAAGAAACATGGATTAACCACACGTTGTCTGTTCTCCACTTTATTCCTCATTCCATCAACCCATTTTGGGAATTTTATGTGATTTTTGTCTAAATCATATTCAGTGTGATTAGTATTTGTTTCCCACAGCAGAAACGTTTAACTATGATGCTTAAAATAGAAATTAACTGAGTCAAATTTTAACTGAGTCAAAATTCAGTTGTAGTGGGTCCTCCCCTCTCCCCCACCCCCATGGTAAGGAACAATTAATAAATTAAAGATTTTTAATAAAATAGCTGGTTTTTAAGGTCAACAAACAGAAAACCAAGGCGTTGGTCAAAAATATGAGTATACCAGATCAAAATAAATTAAGGCCAAACATGACTTTTAAATTGGAAAGAAAGTTAAATATTCAGAGTAATATTAACCACTCAAAATTGTACGTTATTTTAGAAAAACTATGGAAAAGTGTGAAATGCAATTTAAAAATATTTAGTGAAATACGATCAAACTAAAAATATCAGTACTGTGCAAAAGTGTTAGGCAGTTGTGCAAAAGTGCTGTAAATTAAGGATGCTTTAAGAAATAGAAGTATTAACAGTTTATTATTTGTATCAATTAACAAAATGGAAAGTACACGAACAGAAGAGAAGTCTAAATCAAAACAATATTTGGTCTGACCAGCCTTTGCCTTCCAAACAGCATCAATTCTTACACTTGCACAAAGTAAGGGATTTTGTAGAGTTAAGAGTCAAGTATTCAGATTAACTAATTACACCAAGCAGCTACTAATGATCATCAATTTCATACGTAGGTTGAAATACAGCCAGAAACAGCTGTGTAGGAGGCTTAAAACTGGGTGAGGAACAGCCAAACCCTGCTACTAAGATGAGCTTGTGGAAGATAGCTTCATGTCACAGGTCATACAAATGGCAAAATTGAGCACAGGAACAAGACATAAAGTAGTTCTACTACATCAGCAAAATCTCTCCCAGGCAAAGATTTCAAAGCAGACTGGGGTTTCAAGATGTGCTGTTCAAGCTGTGAGTTCAGTCCCACAGAACATATCAAAATACTAGAAATAGAATTTTTCCTGATTGCTACCCTGCTCTGAATTTAACTCAAATATTTTAAAAGTCATTGTATTTTTAAGTATTTTAAAAGGCCTAAAAAGTTTGGGATCAGAACCCTATGTTACTCAACTGAGGAGGAGGAGGAGGAGGGATACAGGAAAGAATATTTTTCATTTTTGTAGGAAGAAATATCCTTCTGGGTTCAGCTCCAAGTGGGGAAAAAGACACTGGAAACATGGAGACTGCTTGGAAAGATGGCTTAATGGTGGACAGGATCACATGGTTTAAGTTCCTGAACAGAAAAGGGCCGAGATGCTGAGAGTCCCTGGGTTTTTATGCTCTCTCTGGGTTTTGAACTTCCTGGGGCTCAGGAAGAGTATCCTGATTGGTTGTCAGACTCCCAGGGGGTGGGGGTCTTAGCTAGCCTTGCTGGCTGATGTAATCTTCCCAGTTGCTATGTGGTGAGTTTCTGTTGCTAGATGGGTCCTATTGTGTTGCAGATGATGGTCCATTGACAAAGATTGAGTTTCTGCCTCTGGCCCATTGGCAAAGGGTGGGGACAGGAAGATGTCTTTAAAACATGCTTCTCCATTTCTCATCCAGGGAAACATAATATTCTGCCTTTTTAATATTTCCCAAAATATTTCATTTTTCTAGGAAAGGGGTGGGTGCTAATTTCCTACAATTTTGATGTAGCAGTTGTGGAATAAAATGTTCCCAAAGGCCATCTGGCCCCACTGCAACAAACCTTTTATCATTGTGTAACAGAGTACAGATTTGTTGAGTAACCAATTAAATAAAGAACTGTTAATATCCTAGCTGTTTTCTCTGTGATATGTAGTTTTATTCATTGTATATTTAAAAAAAAAAATTTGTTCACCACGTTGAGAGAGTATTCTTTCGCTTGAATGTCTGTGGAGATTCTCAGTCATCCAGCTCATGGTTGTCCCAAAGGTGCTTTTTTAAAAGGCAACTGGACTTTCTTTGTTTTTCCTTGAAGATGTTTAGTATTTCATCCAAGAAGCTACTTCAGTTCTGTTGTTTTGTATGAAAATTTTTATATCTACCTGATTGGTTTGCAACCTAAATAAAGAAGAGCATAAAAGGAGGGGGGGGAAACAAGGGATGGAGACCACACACCTTCAGTTCTGGCTGAGAGGAAGGGATTCTTCTGATGTCAGCTGACACAGAAATCGGAAAAGCGCTGGGGACCAAGCCAGATTTTTCAACAGTGCCCGGGAATGCCTCAAATGCTTTTCTTTCCTGCAACTTGGCAGGACAAATGCTACCGAATAAGGAATGCACTGAGCTGAACATTTCAAACGCAGAAAACAGGAGACTGAACCATTTTTAATAAACGTTCATCTTGGAGAAATTCTTATCGACGTGTTCGTTAAGAGTGGGAAAACGTTTTGATGGCACATAAACTTTCAAAGCAATCCATTATTCTGAAGGGCAAAAGATACTTTGCCTGTCGACGTGGCTGAATATGAAAGGCACGATTGCGCCCTCTGCCTGTATTTGGAGCAACTTTTAATCCAGTTTTGTCCTTCCCCTCTTATTTGATGAAAATAACAAGGAGAGCAACTGAGACCAAAAACTTTATATAATGTAAAGAGTCAGGGGCTCACGAAAAAAGGCAAATTAGTTTTTCCGCCAAATGGTTTCCAGGATACTCCCACGGCGGTTGGGGCCAACTTTTTCCGCCTGTTCAATTCATGGGCGGGAAAAGGAAACAATGGGTGTGAGTTCTTTCACTTTCAGAATTGCCTCCGAAGCTGGAACTGCTGCTGTGTCTTCAGCTTTTCCCTTCCCCGTCATCGCTGCCCAGTATCAGCTGAGGGAGCATGGCAGGTAAGATCATAGATACCTCTCTACACCCCCCCCCAGCTTTTTTTTTTCTTCTTAAAACCTTAAAACCTGAAAGAGCGGGAGCGGCAGTTTGCGCTGCATTTTTTACACGTACTATGCGAGGAGGGCCTCTTCCTTTTTCCACCCACTCTGGATCTTGCAACGTGCAAAAAAAAAATAACTTTATTCCTAAAGCGGGTTGCTTTGGCTGCCTTCCCGTCTATAAGAAAAAAAGATCAGGATTTTAAATCAAGACGCTGGAAGGATCGTTTATAGATAGAAAGTACCGGAGGAGAGCAACTGGAGTGGTTGCAAGGCATCGATTAAGGAGCAGGAGTTTTGTTTCATTGTTTTGAGATTGTTTCATAGTTACTGGTTTTATTGCCGTTGTAAACCTCCCAGAGTTGCTTAAATTGACAGGTCATACAAATCAATCAATCAATCAATAGTGTATGAGTAGGCAAACAAAATTGCTTCCTCAGATAAAATATATAATATAATTCTTCCTCTACATGGTATTCAGTTGGATTCACTTGCACGATTCAAGTGGAACGCAAAGAATTGTGCCCTCTGGATTACATCACAAATCGAGATACATACACAAATTAGCATAGTTTTTATACCCTTTCAGAAAACAAAGGGACACTAATCATTAGCAAGCAATACTCAACAATCAACAAAGCACAGATAGTCCTCGACTTATGATCACAATTGAGCCCAATATTTCGGTTGCTAAGCAAGACAGTTAAGTGAATTTTGTCCCATTTTACAACTTTTCTTGCCACATTTGTTAAGTGAATCTCTGCAGTTGTTAAATTAGTAACCCGGTTGTTAAGTGAATCGGACTTCCCCATTGACTTTGCTTGTCAAAAGGTTGCAAAAGATTATCACATGACCCTGGGACACTGCAACCGTCATAAAGATGAACCAGTTGTCAAGCATCTGAATTTAAATCATGTGATCATGAAGAAGCTGCAGTGGTCATAAGTGTGAAAAATGGTCATAAGTCACTTTTCTTGGTGCCGTTGTAACTTCAAGAGGTCACTAAACCAACTTGTAATTCAAGGATTATCTTTATTCACAACTCCTGGTAGAAAATGGCCCTCCCAGAAGTTGGGTTCATTACTATAATATTACAGCTCTCATCATCCTGTCCCTAACTGATAACTCTTGGTTCAAAACTTTCTAGTTAATTTATCTGCAACAAGGGGAATTAACCCTGAACCAATTGCTGGCCTGGTATGAGTTCCTTGATGTGGCTATTTCTGTAGCTTTCCAGGAATTTTAGGACAAGGATATGAGGGCCAAGAATGAGAGGCCCAAAAGGAAAATATCTAAGAGCAAAATTCAAACAGGATGATATGTCCTGTATAATATCACAAAAACTTGTGATGCAGTAATTGGAAGTCAAGACCTTTCCTACTGCCTTTAGTATTAGTATACTAGAAAAAAAGAATCCCCATACAGTACCTACGAGATATCTCAGAATGAACAGATCTTAAATTAATAATGCAGGGCCTGCAAGACTTACTTGCCTGCTAACTTAATGTTTTGGCATTCACAAGGCTCTTGGCTCCATCTGCTTTTTTTATTCTGCTTCTTTTGAATGAATGACTGCATAGGTGGATGAATTAATGGACGGATACTCCGGGCCTGGTACATGTTCTTAGAAAATCAAAATGTGGAGGTGACTGCAACTCAGTGTTTGGTCCGGTAGTGAGCCTACATTTTAGGGATTCACCAGTTTGCCTTCAAATAAACGGTGGTAGTGATTGCCCATTAATGTAAACTATTTGCAATTGGGCAAACCTTCCTCCATGATTTGTTGGTGTCTACAGCAGTGTTTCCCTAACTTGCTGACTTGGAGATTCTGGGAGTTGAAGCTGCCAAGATTGAGAATCTTAAAGGTGCCAAGGATGAGAAACACTGCTCTATAACATGCTCTAAAGATTTCAAATGTTCATTCCAACCCAAAGATTGGGGATTCCTAGCAGAGACAATGTAGTTTGGAGCAATACATTGGACAAATGAATTGACTCAGTATAAAGTAACTTCATATACAGATCCTACCTGTTGCTTTTCAGGGAAGAGGTTACCCTCCACACCTGATGTTCATTTACCTCACTATTCTCTCTCACTTGAGTCATGGCTTTCCACTTCAACATTAGCCAAGTCTGATTGACCATAAAGGGAAAATATTCCTTATTTTTTCAGGACCTACAGTAGCAGCCAAATGTAGAGGACAACTCAAATTAAGATGGGACTTATTCTACACTTTCATTGAATATCTTTAAGTGATAAGGAACGGATATCTACATTTCCCTTCTCTCCCGCAAACAAATTTCAGTTTCCTGGGGTCATTTTTCCCATATTTTGTCAGTAATATCTATCAAAGTATTTGGATATGCAGTAGGGAAAGAAAAAATGGAGCCCTTTTCATACAATATGTTTATTGGGTTCCTCAATTAATCCGTTTTCTCTGCTTATGTAAAAAAAACCATAAAGTAACCAAAATGTATAGCTTTTACATCCTAAACTAAAAAAGCAAACTCAGATTAATGTTAGAAAAGCTTAGTATGTGGCACAAATCAGCTACTGGTGGTATTTAATTGTTGTAGGAACAATATCTGAGCATGTGTGTGTATATAAGGGATTGTGATTAGACTTTTTTCACTTTCTGCAGAATCCTATGCTAATTTAATAATAAATAAAATCCAGTCATTGGTCAGACTTAACCACTTAAGGATTCTCTGGGCAGAAAAACGAGCTAAGTAATCCAGCTTCCTCAATGGGCATTTCTTTGCCAGAAGTTAGGGGGAAAATGGTACCAAATTACTACCACTTGACTGCAGGATGCTACAACTAATTGTAAATACAAGCAGGTTGCCAATTGCCCAAACTGCAATCGCATGAGTGCAGAGGTTGTTCAACAATCCTAAACTGCAGGTCATAAACCACTTGTTCCAAGGACATGGTAACTTTGAACTGACATGAAAAGAATATAAGTCAAGGACTATCTACAGTATATCTCAGTAAAATTGTAATTCTTCAAATCAGTGTGATAAATTTAGATTAGATTGTTGTTATTTTGAACTGACATGAAAAGATTATAAGTCAAAGCCTACCTGTATCTCAGTAAAATTGTAATTCTTCAAATTAGTGTCATAAATTTAGAAGGTTGTTGTAACTTTGAACTGACTAAGTCAAGGCCTACCTGTATCTCAGTAAAATTGTAATTGTTCAAGTCAGAGTGATAAATTTAAAAAAATGCACTTGTTTTCCTTACAGACAAGAAGTTGAAAGAAGTGCGTGCAGAGTTTATAAAGCGTGTTAACAAATCTATAATCAGGCAACTCTTAGATGATCTGCTCAGTAAGGATATCATGGATGATGAAGAGGTGGAAGGAGTGAATGTGTACGATAAGACGCAAGATCAAGCAAGAATTATGATCGATAATGTGAGAAAAAAGGGGCCTGAAGCTAGCCGCCTCTTTATTGACTTCCTCCTGGCCCGAAATGCTTACTTAGCTGGACAGCTGGATCTCCAAACCTTTCCTGCTGGTACTTCTGATGTTACAGCATATCATCTAGCTTTGGGCCAAAATTACTGATCTCTCTCCCTAATTTAGTTACTGTGGCCCAGAATCATGCAAAAGCTTTGTGTTGTGCCCCCAAACTGTTTGGGCTGGTTAGATTTGGCCATATTGGTGTAATAAGTCATTTTGAAAGGAAACTTTACCATAAATTGATATTCCCCTGTTTTTTTAGGAGCACATTCTAAAGAATGTTTCTATATACTAAGATATAGGTACATGAAATTTGGGTGCCTTCCAGTTTTTAATCAGCTTCATTGTATCTTATAAAAACTGTCCCTTATTTTTTTTTTCTTGGACTAGGACAGTGATGGCGAACCTTTTGGGCTCGGCGTGTCAAAAATTCAGAAAAAGCCTAACTTGACTGCTGGTGTGTCACGCCATCCCCATCAGACAAAGGAGAAACAATTCTTAACAAAAACTTGTTTGGGAGAGTAAGATGGGCACATATAAATGTAATAAGCGAAATAAAAACAAAATTGCAAACGTTTTCTGATTTGCCTTTTTCTCTATCTGAGGTTGTATGAGGCCTGAAAACTTTGGAGAATGCTCTTGCTTGGCCTGCTCTGAAAAGAACAGGAAAGCATGTCCCATTCTTGCACCCTTTTTTGAGGCTCCAGAGGCTGCGTGAGAGCATATCAGATTCTTGTGCGGTGTCTGGAGCCTCTAGAAACCATGTGAGAACTATCCATGCCTTTTGGAGGCTGCAGAGGCCACATGAGATTGTGGTGGCCTCTTCCTCAGCTTCTGAACCCACTGGAAGTCATGTGAGAGGGTCTTAGTCTTTCAAGGCCTCTGGAGCCTCCAAAAATTGGGCAAGAACATTCCCACATGATTTTCAGGGAGATCCAGAGATTGCATGAGAGCAGGCTCTCTCAAGCAACTTCCAGAAGATCCAGAGGTAGTGCAAGAGTACATAACATTCTCATGCGACCCCTAGGCGTGTCACCAAAAATGACAGGGGTGTGTCACTTGTGACACATGTCATAAATTTGCTATCACCAGACTAGACAGTAGTATGGACTAAAAACATCTGCTTTTTTTTCTCAATTGCTCACTTCAACTGAGACTGAGTAGGGCAGCCATATATATTTTCTTAAATGAAGAAATAATTTGAAGGGATAGGTCGAAGGTTAGGCCACAAGAATCAGAAAGATTTGTAGGCTATCAACTAGGTTTCTAGTTAGTATGTTGTAGGCTTTCTAGGAGACCAGCAATGTGGAGGAAAGGCTAAGGTTTTCAAAGCTATCCTTTGTCAGCAGCTCTGTTCATGTTGCTTAATTTTCTGCATGTTTTTTAGATCTGCTATGGCAGTGGAGTCAATAAGCTGGAGGACATGCTCTTTCTGAGGGCCCAGACTTGCTAATTGCTAACTGATTTTTGTTTCTGTTGGAGCTGACAAGAAAACAAGTGTCCCAGTGATGTGCTACAATTCCCAATGCCCTTCTGACGGGCTGCTAGGCACTGTAGTTTAGCAATTTAAAAGGTCCGACTGTCTCATGTGATATTTAATAATTCACTGTGATAAAAAAGCTGAATATGGTGTTCAACTTTCTTCCATCTCCAGTTAGCCAGCCAATAAAAGGTAACATCTCAGAGGAAGAGGTCCAGTTCCTAGAATCTAAAAACGGGATCAGGCTTTGTCCTCAGAATATATTTCAGCAAATACAGACTAATGAAGGCACCGAGGTGAGTTGGCAGACCTAGTTAGATCTATCCAAGACTTGAGCTTAAATACTGCACTTTATTGCATGCAGCAGCTGCTGTAAAGGTAGCCACAGATGTGAACTGAAAATTCAACTTTTGTAGCAGAAATTTTGAATATATCTTAAATTCTCCTCAACTTGGCTTTTAGAAATATTACCTTGTTTTATTTCTAAAGCAAAAAAAAAAAAACCTGGGGATCTTCTATTGTTCCATATCTAACACAAATAAAACAGACAACATGAAATTAAGGGAGGTTTAAATATAATGTGACCACAATACCTTCATTGGCTTTAAAGTAGACAACCAATGGAACAGCTTGCCTTCAGAAGTTGTGGGAGCTTCATCACTGGAAGCTTTCAAGATGTAACTGGACTGCCATCTGTCAGAAATGGTGTAGAGTCTCCTGCTTGGATGGGGGGTTGGACTAGATGACCTACAAGGTTCCTTCCAACTCTGTTAATCTCTGCACACTTAAATACCTGGAGGCCCTGAGAGATTGAACTCATGGACTTTATGCTTTCACAGAATTGCCATGCTCTCTTAATATTTGCTTCTGGTTACATGAAAGGGAAGGAAAAGGAAGTCTTGCCTTCAAATCAGGCTTGTGGGTTTCCTCAAGTGCCTAGCCACCCACTATGGCAAACAGGAAGTTAGACTATTTTGGGTCTGATTTACCAATTTTATTTTTATGGTTAAGTGGAACAAATCTTCAGATTCAAATAATCTCTGAACACTAAATTCTGAGTAATAGCAAAACCATAGTTATCTGTTAGCCTTGTTTGTAGATTTTGCAACACCATCAAAATCATTCAAATATTACCGAACTAGTTTCCAGGATCCCCCACCACTGGCTAAGATTGATAAGAATTGGGAGAGCCCTAAACTAGATGGGTGCTTGGCATAATTATAGTTCAGGATAAGAACCACTTTTCTTTCCCCATGCAGATCTACCCTATCAAGGATCCCAAGACTCGTACGCGCCTGGCCTTGATAATCTGCAATATCAAATTTGATTACTTGGGTTATAGATACGGGGTTGAGATAGACTTGGAACAGATGACACTTCTCCTAGAAGATCTGGGATACAATGTGGAAACAAAGACCAATTTAAGCTCACAGGTAAAAAAAAGTTTAGTAATTTGTTACTCAAGAAAAAAGTCTAGTGAAACCTAAACATTCAAGGAATGGGTGTGGAAGTTTTGATTTTGCCCTTTAATACATGTATTAATTCTAGCCACCCATAGTTAGTTGGACCTAGGCAGCTTCAAAATTGAATAAAGTGTGGCAATCTTGTTAAACTACCTATACAATAATATTTAGCACAAATGTAGAAAATATGGATGTTTTAAATTATAAATCCAGCAAGCCCTGGCTCATGGCCATGCTGATTGGAGTTGATGGGACCTCAATTCCAAAAAACTGTAGATTATCAAGTTGTTTATATCTAATTTTAGTATAAGAAAAATGTGCTTGAAATGGTAATTGAACTTCTCTCCTGGTCTAATCCTTTTTAATTTCAACTATTGGGATATTGCTTTCTTTTTCATCTCCCATAATTGTTTCTCCAAAAAAACAGTTGGGGAGGCTAGCTTTCCAGAGAGAATATACTACTATACTGGCCAGGATGTTTGGTTTTTTCCTTCTGGAGAGCATGATGAGGTCAGCCTTCCATTCAGCTGTGAAGATAATACTCCCCTTGTCACACAGACCCCTCGCCATATTGGAGATTTGTGATGGTGTTCACACATCTCAGATATGGAGATTTGCTGCACAGCCCTCCCATTCAAATCTAGAGAGAAAAAGCTATTAATTGTTTATGCACTGAATTTTTGCTATGCTTGAATAATAATTGAAATCTAGTGCAATTGCAAGAAGGCTACCCCCATTCTTCTCAACTCTAATGATGAGTGCAGAGTTAGTTAGAAACTCCATTTCCACTCCTGACCCACCTTCCTTTTTCATTGCTTTCAGGATATAAACACTTGCTTGCAGAAGTTTGCAGCTCGGGAAGAGCATAAGACTTCAGATGGGATGTTTGTGGTACTGATGTCTCATGGCTTTCAGGACATCCTTTGTGGAGTCCATTCAGGAAACCAACACTCTGACATCTTCCCCATCAAAACTGTCTTCTCCATCTTCAACAACATAAATTGCCCAGCTTTGAGGGGAAAGCCCAAGGTGGTCATTATTCAAGCAGGTCGTGGTGGTAAGTAGCTGAAGTTGAGATCTGGGAGGGGAGAAGGCAGATGAGTATTTAGCAGGAACATATAGTCTCTTGCACATAGTCTTAACTAGATCAAGCAACTTCTAGATCAGGGGTCGGGAATTATGGCCCTTTTATGACTTGTGCACTTTAGCTCCCAGAATTCCTGAGTCATCGATGCTGCCTCAGGAATTCTGGGACTTGAAGTCCACAAGTCATAAAGGGGCCATAGTTCTCTACTTCTGCTCTTGGCAAACTGATTTGTAGATATTTACTGCTGATTGTATTTATCTCCAGAAGATCTGTGGTCTTCAGGTGTGTTGGAATAATGACTTTCCATAAATGGCAATAGATTGTTGGGAAGGGAAAAATTAATTTTGAACCTTGTCTTAAACCTTGGGAGTTTGAAACCTGTTAGGAACAAAAGGCTATGCTGTACTTTTATGATGATCATAAAGCCTTGTATGAATAACCTCTGATCTGTCAGAGGCTTTTGTTAATGATTGTTGATTCCCCCATTTTGTTTCTCCAGAGCAACGAGGGTACAGGGTGGAAAACGTGGAAGACTCAGCTGCATCGGCTGCTGCCTCTCTCCAGCTTGATTCACACAACCCCATGCAATGGCAAGTTGATGCCATTCAGAGAGTACATGTGGAGAGTGACTTCATCTGCCTATATTCCACCACCCCTAGTAAGAGACTGTTAAAAGAAAATTGCTAAGTAGGGGTCCAAAGCAGGACAGAAATGAAAAGAGCTGCTGCCTTAGCGATACAGGCATTTAGTTCACAAAGCTGTCTGTCCAAGATTGGCAACTAATCAGTTAAGAAAACCTGATCTGGACCTCTTTGCTAAGTATCAGAAATTCACCGGCATGCTCACTGCAAAAAGCCTAGTCATTCATTTATAAGATTTTTATCCCGCCTTTTATTATTTTGTAAGTAACTCATGAAGATCATAGTAATACTCCTTCCTCCTCTTCTTTTTCACCACCACCACAACAACCCTGTGAGGTAGATATATTCAGGGATTTGTCAATTTATTGAACCAAATCCCACCCAAAGAGATTGAGTCTCCCTAATAAGTTAAGCTACCAGAAATCTAATCAGCACGAACAAAGATGATTATGTGTATGAACTAAGCTCGTTGTTTAGTAAGTGAACCGTAAGCTATCCAGCCCACCCTGCTAAGTCCCCATAGGCCTTGGGCCTGCTAGCCACCTACTCATACCTATTGTACCCTTTTGAAGGTCTCCAGACCTCATATTGGGAAAGGAGGGCAGGCCTGTTCTCCTGGGTCCCTTGCTGGGCTGCTTGGCTGCCTCTGGGAAATAGCTGCCATTTTCAGCACAGGAGGCCAAGCCCTGTGAGGGACCCGAGAGAAAATCTGTGGGTACCTGGTGGAGGGCGGAAATAGGCCCAAGGGATGTAGGGATGAGAAGGAGCAGGAATGGAGTGTAAGGTTTCTTAGGGATTCGGGGGAGGTCTTGGAAAGCTGAAGGCAGGTGGGCTGGGATCTGCATTAGATTTCTCAAGGCCTTCCCCACCCCTGAAGCTCTTCTCAGTTTAACGATTCATATGTTGATATGACTGCATCAGGGAAAGCAAGGATGATGATTGTTAAGTGAGGCCATCTCCCTCAATGGCCATCACCACTTGCAAAGGAAATGGGCAGGCTCCATTACTGTGATAGGTCGAAGACAATTTGTATAGGTTTAAAGTTTGTTAGGTAGAGCATGAAGTCTGACATCGTGAAGAATCATTATTGCTTAATCATTCTTGTCTGTTTAGATAATTTATCCTGGAGACACACTCAAACGGGATCATTCTTCATCATCCAGCTAATAGATACTATCAAGAAACATGCCTGGAATTGCAATTTGGAAGAGATCTTCCGGAAGGTAGGTCTGCTCAGGTCTTTCTACACAAGGCTGTCATGTTTGGAATGAAGTTTTTTTGTTAAAGACCCACTTTGGAATGGCATTAGGAGCCGTGATGGCGCAGTGATTAGAATGCAGTATTGCAGGCTAACTCTGCCCACTGCCAAGAGTTTGATTCTCACTGGCTCAAGGTTCACTCAGCTTTCCATCCTTTAGAGGTCAGTAAAATGAGGACCCTGATTGTTGAGGCCAATATGCTAATTCTGTAAACCGCTTAGCAAAGGCTGTAAAGCACTATGAAGTGGTATATACTGTAAGTCTAACTGCTATTGCTGTTAACGGCCCTAAATCATGTATTTTTTAACTTCCCGTTTCTTTTTTCCGGCTTTAGTAATTAAATCTCATGTTCAAAAACTTAAGAGTCCATAACGGAATTGAAGAACATAAGCAGATTCTGCAAACTTCTATCATTTAACAATCCTGTTGCAAGAATATTGCACAGATTTATCATGTAGATTGTGTTTGAATATTTTCTTTTTGTAATTATGATGAAGGTAAAATAAAATAAAATTGATTGGTGGGCAAAAAATTTTGGTAGCCAAAAAAGGAACAAGAGCCTTTTTTTTTTTTTTTTGTATCAACTCCCTTCATCCCCCACCTTCAAAAATCTGGAAAAAATTTCAACTCCCATAATTCTTGCCAGCAAGCCATCCAATTGGAGGAAAGCTAACAAAGAGCTGCCATCATGTCATCAATTTTATAATTAGAACTGATCAAAATTATCCATCGTATTCTACTTTAGAAATACCCAGACATCAAGCTTATTGCTACCCCGTGCAAATAAAAATAATCCTTTGAGAATAAAGTCCAAGGTACTTTAATTCTCTGGTGATTCTGAACTGTCCTTCAAGCTTTTGCATCCCTTCTTTATCTATATACAGTCTTTGGATTATAATAGTAAACCTGGCTATATAGCTTCTCTGTCTGATTTCCCCACCGTCAAACCCCATATGGTTAGCAAGTTCAGGAAACAAGAACCATGTGGATTTCTGGGAAGATCTTTTTTTGCTAGTGGAATAATGTAACAGAATTGTGAAAACCTAACAAAGGTTTTTCCCTATACAATTTATTTATATCTAGTGTGGAATAGAACAGAACAGAACAGAATAGAGAGAAAGAGAAAGAGAAAGAATAGAATACTTTATTTGGCCAAGTGTGATTAGACACACAAGGAATTTGTCTCTGGTGCATAAGCTCACCAGTGGTGAAATTCAACCAGTTCTATCCGGATCACGCGATCTGGTAGCGCTGGTGGCGGGAGGCTTTGCCCACCCGCCCGGACATCATCATGTCCTGTTTTTGACACTCTGCACATGCGCAGAAGGCTCTGCGCATTCGTAGAGGAGGCGCGCGCTCACATTTGCGAACCGGTAGCAAAGGTAAGTGAATATCACCCCTGAAGCTCTCAGTGTACATGCAAAACAACAAAGTAATAATAATCATAATAACAAAGTATAGGTAGTCCTATTATTAAGGGAGACATTTGTTAAGTGAATTTTGCCCTATTTTATGACCTTTCTTGCCACAGTTGTTAAGTGAAGAACTGCAGTTGATAAGTAAGTAACACGGTTGTTAAGTGAATCTACTTTCCCCATTGATTTTTCTTGTCAAAATGTTGCGAAAGGTGATCACGTGACCTTCGGACACAGCAGCTGTCATAACTAAATCAGTTGCCAAGCTTTTGAATTTTGATCACATGATCATGGGGATGCTACAAAGGATGTAAGTGTGAAAAATGGTCATGAGTCACTTTCAGTTCCATTGTCACTTTGAATAGTCACTAAAGTCAAGGACTACCTGTAATAATAATCACAATAATGAGGAAGTGGAACAGTTAACAAGGATAATAGTGATACAGCCATACTACACTCCATACTAGATGGAGTGTTCTGCCCCAGCTATGGACCCCAAAGAACGCAGCACATACAAAGTCCGTACAAACCTTAGTTTACTAATTAAGGACTACTAATGAGCTTTCTTAGTTGTTGTTTGAACACAAGTACAGTTTAAATCTTTTCTGAACAAGGGCTGTTAATTTAACTTCATTAACAGCCGACAAGAATCCAAAGAATAATAACTCAATTCTGAGGCACAGTACTTCAGATAACTGTAATCTTACTGTGGTTGGCAAAATGCCCAGAAGCAATTTGCAGGAAAACTGACGAGAGAAACAAGAGCCGAATCAAACGTTTCTGGAATCAAGACGTGAAGGAATATGAACGAAGTTGTTTCCTGCAAATTGCATCAGTCGTCATCCTTCCTTAAATAGGCTAGGGGAGTGGCCAATTAGCCCCAAGCCTTACTCTTAAGGAGACCTCCTGAGGAGCCACTCCTGCCTTTTAACAACTCTGTGCGCTCATGCATCAAGAAGAGGTTCCTCCTCTTCTTCCTCTTCACTTATGGGAGTTTCTGGAGGTTCTGAGGGCCCTGGCTGAATCCCCGCCTCTGGCACCACATCTTCTCCAGCCTCCTCATTGTCTGACTCGAACGCCAGCTGCACAGGCTGCTGGCGCAGCACCACACCAGCCTCCTCGCTGTCGGAATCAGCTACTAACTGCACAGGCTGCTGATGGGCCACAACATGGAGTTACTCTGAGTCTGTTTCTCATGCTTCCCTCCCATTCAAAAATGTATTTTGTAACAGACCCATTTCCTGCCTTAAGATCTTCCTGCTTCCTCTGTGTTTCAAGGTCTATTAAGCATCCCATCGTAAGAGTCCTGTAAGACCTTTTAAAACTAAACTTTATTTTAAGCTATAAGCTTTTGTGAACTTCAACTCACTTTATCAGGTCCCATGGAGTCAACTGATTGATGTGGAATTTAAATAAATTGGATGAGATGTAGGCCAAAGAAAGGTGGTTATGCAGATGAAGGTTCTATGTTGTATAGATTACAAACACCTATCAATAACTATAATATGCTATGCCTTGAGATAAAACCATTAGTCTTAAAAGTTGTCAATAGATTCTTTCTGATCTGGGCTACTGTATAATCCGATTCTTCTACAATGTTTCATTAGTAAAGTGAGCATTCTGTACCTTCCATATTACAGGTGATGGACCATTTTGCAAGCGACCCACGTAATATGCCCTCAAAGGAGAGAACCACCTTGACCAAAAAGCTCTACCTCTTCCCAGGACATTGAAGCCAGGTAAGTGTTTATTCTTGCAGCTGTAATACCAGATTTTGGGATATTTGGGGACAGGGACAACAGAGTCATCTGATTTTTCTTGGAGTTTTTGGGTAAGTCTGAAGCCCTTTTCTGACAAATCAGGAAATCCGTTCTTCATATCTCAATATTATCATGAACTCACTGTGAGGTCTTCAGCCTCTGTGTAATATGGAGAAAAATAATCCTATTTTAAACCTCAGTAATAGGAAATCACAAACCACAGAAAGCTCTGATTTTATTATAAAATGTGGGTGGAATGATTTAGAGGCTGCGTTCTTAGTTCATCCTGCTTCAAAAGTAAACTTTTAAGGTAACGCCGTGATGGCGAACCTATGGCACGGGTGCCACAGGTGGCACGCGGAGCCATATTGGTGGGCACGCGAGTGTTGCCCTAGCTCAGCTCCAACGTGCATGCACGCACCGGCCAACTGATTTTCAAGCCTTCCGGTCCCACCGGAAGTCGGGAAACTGGCTGTTTCCAGCCTCCGGAAGGCCATCGGGAGGATGGGGAAGGCTGTTTTTGCCCTCCCCAGGCTCCTAGAAAGCCTCTGGAGCCTGGGGAGGGGGAAAAATGGGCCTACCGTGCCCACCATGCCATCGCGTGCCAAAAGCAGGGGGAAGTGTGGGGGGTGTCACGTGCGCATGCACGGGAGGGTGGGGCGCATTGAATTCTGGACGTGGGCACACGCACCCGCAACCCCCCCACTCCCCCTGCTTTTGGCACGCGACGGCAAAAAGGTTACTCATCACTGAGGTAATGTATTGAAGTATGATTAAAGTTATTTAATTAAAGTTACTTCAAGTCTCCTCTATCATACAGATCCTCGAGTTACAACTGTTACTGAATCCCACAATTACGATTATAGGTTGTGATGGTTATAAAGCAAATCCCCACATGACCAGAGCTGATTTTATACCTTGTTTGCAGTGCAATGACCGCCACAAACACGGAGGTCATTAAACAAAGTCATTGTTCTCTATGGGGCTTTTGTACCAGAAGCTGAAAGTAAATGCCAGTTTCCAGCAAAAACATGACCTCGGGGTGGACCAGATGTTGAAATTTTGGATTTGGGTCATAAGGAGCTTTGGGGTCTAAGAGACTGGTCAAAAGTTGAGACTACCTGTATACTTATTTATTTATTTATTTAATATAACTTATATGCCGCCCTATCTCCATAGGACTCAGGGCGGCTCACAACAATTAAACAAGCCAATAAAAACATAAAATACATACATAAACAAATATTAAAACCCGTTAAAATAATTGAAAGCCCCCTCAGTCCAGGCTAGGTGCCGTGAACAGCCATGTTTTTAATTTGCGGTGGAAGGTGCAACATACACATGTATACCTGTAACACAGGTATACCTGTATGTGGTATCCTAAGAGACACTGCATATCATCTGTATATACTTTAAATATTTAATATAGATAACAAATATTGATGTAAAGAATTATGTGTGACATAAGGACCTAGACATTCTTTTAAATGTTTAATCACAATGTTAAGTAGCTGAGTTGAATAATTGCATGATAACAGGGGTGGACTTTTGTTCTGTATTGCAGTTTTTATTAGGATATAATAAAAAATACAAAAATAAAAGGAGCAAATAGTAGGAAACAAAAGGGAGGGAAAGGGGAAGAGAGAAGTATAGAAAAACAACTCCCTCTGATGCAGTAGAATAATGCATTAACATCAAACCTCAACTTTTTACTTTTTCATAATAGTATAAGCTAGCTATTTCTATAACAAGATATCTATCTAAACAGTAAAACCCCAAATCAAAGTTTCATTCTTTTCCACCCTTATCACATGCCCACCATAAACGGTAAAAGTCCCTTCTTTACATTTACATTTCCAACATTCATTTGAAATACTATTATACATTCTGGATAAATTGTTTGGATGATGTATCGCTGGTTAAATACCAGCAATACATCATCTTTTAGAAATTTTCTTTTAAATTATATTTTAATGTAAATTTAAAACCTTTTGTCCACATATTCTCTCATTAGTCAAGCATCACATTATATCCAAAATTCCTTGCCCACTGAATCATACCATACTTTACATGTTCATTTTCCAAATTCAATTTCAATAACGTTGGCAACTTGAAAGCTTTGCAGTTTGAACCTTTGAAGTTTGGATCATGGCTCATGAATTAATTAGGGCATCTTTCGGAAACTTGACAAACGTTTTATAAATTTTAGCAATGATATGTTCATCACTACCAAACAGTAAGGTTTCCAATTCATTTTTAACAAAGTCAAATGCATAACTCTTTTTATGTAATGTAAATATTTCTTTCAATTGTAAGTATGTAAACCAATGGCAGACACAACCTTCTGATTCTAACTCTTCCTTAGACTTGAGGGTGGGGTCACCAAAATTAAAATATATTATTTTACCATAAGTCCACTGGTCCGGCTTCGCCACCATTTCTTTTCTGAAAAAGGCTTCCTGGGAGGACACCCAAGGAGGCATCTTCGTAGAAAATCTTGTTTTGTATTTATTCCAAACTCTTGGCATGGCACTGCTAACAAAATGGTTCTTAAAATCAACATTTACTTTAACTTTGTCATACCACTTTGCCATCCAAGCCATAATTCATGACCTTCTAAATCAAGTGGCATCTTGTTCCAGAGGTTCACCCACTCTTTTAGCCAGACCAAACAAGAAGCATCAAAATACAGTTTCAAATCTGGTAAATCTCAACCTCTTTTTCCTTAGCGTCTTGCAGTAGTTTATATCTAATTCTTGGTTTTTTCCCTTGTCATGTAAACTTGAAAATATCCCTCTGGCATTGTTTGAATGGAAGTGTGGACTTTTATTATACTTTGAGGGAACAACATTGTGTAGTTTTAATGTATTGTGAGCCACTCAGAGTTATACAAGCAACATATGTCTTATACTATAAATTGTTTAAATAAATAAATAGCGGCTGCTCATTCTTTTTCTCAGATGAAGGAGAAACTACTGGGCCTAAAAGCAGATAATTCTTTCAGATATATGGAAGATACATGGATTGACCACACCTTGTACTTTCTCCACCTTATTCCTCATTGTAAAATTCAATCAACCCCTTTTTGGAAATGTATGTGATTTGTGTCTTTAAAATTAATGGAATTAGCCATTAAAGCATAATGAGATTTATGAAAATAGTTACAGTTTGTCCTCCTGTCAACTTACAGGCATGGGAATTTACAATAGCCCCACATGAATAAACACTTACAATGAATGGTCTGTCTCAAATACAGGCTATTCGGGAATTACTGGTAGTTCCCTTAAAATTTCCTCAAATTAATTCAATTGAAATTTCACCCAACTGATCAGGAATTAATACAAAAAATCTATATATGCGCAGAGATGGACAAATTAACTCTAGAGTTACAGGATAAGGAAGACTCAAAATACTTTAAAATATGGAATAGCTGGTACCAGTGGATAAATCAGAGGAGGGGGAATGGTTAAAGATGAAATTCAGAAGAAATCAGTATAAATAAACAACTGCACTGTCAGAGAGATACAAAAGGAAATAAGCCACTGTGCGTATGTATATATGTATATATAATAATAGAAAGTAGTTAATAGATGAAGTTGAGTACTGTATATGTACTGTATATGTATATGTAATTTGTGTTTTTGATTAAGAGAAACTTGTATGTTTTTCTTATATTTGTTTTAAATGTTTTTTTTAAATACGAATAAAGTTTGTTTTTAAAATTTAAAAAAAGAAAAGAAAAGAAATTTCACCTAGATGAAGAAACAATTGGGAATATGTTCTCAGTAATTCCCATGACAAAGTCCAATTAAAGAATAGCTTAAAGGTTCATTGGTGTTCTTGAGCTTTGTTATTTTCTTGCAGATGTTTCATTACCCAAACTAGGTAACATAATCGGAGAATAGTTTGATTATAAAGATCAATCATAAGCCAGATCAGTTCACCTTGGTATATTTGTGGTGCAAGGCAGCCCTCGTTTCCTGCCACTTGGGACTCGGAGCAGTAAACAGCTCCGCTTTAGGGAGCAGCCAGATTTTGCTCTCCATTGCGGATGCCATATTGGCCCCGTGCAAGCTCTTGTCTCTCGAGGAGCCAGGCCAAAGTTTCCAGCGCCACTTAAGGAGCGCTCCTTGAGACAAGAGTTTGCAGGGGGCCGATCTAGTGTCCATAATGGAAAGCAAAATCCCGCTGCTTCCTGAACCAGATGCTGTTTACTGCTTTAAGTCCCAAGCGGCGGGAAACGAGGGCTGCCTTGCGCCGCAAATATACCAAGGCAGAATCCTGATGCCACACTAGAGCAGAGAGAAGAAGCAGGATTTTGCTGTCCATTGCGAATGCAAGATCAGTCCCCTGCAAGCTCTCATCTCTCGAGGAGCCCAGCCAAAGTTTCCTGTGCCGCTTCAAGCGAGTGCTCCTTGAGAGACGAGAGCTTCCAGGGGGCCAATCTGGCATCCATAATGGAGAGCAAAATCCAGCTATTTGCTGGACCAGATGCTGTTTACCACTCTGAGTCCCAAGTGGTAGGAGACGAGGGCTGCCTTGCGCCACTGGCTGGCGCAAATATAAAGAGGCGGAATGCTGTTGCCGCACAAAAGAAAGTAGTGCTTTGCTCCCGCAGCTTCCAGGTATCGCAACCACCGCTTCAGCCCGCTTGTGCCACTCCCTCCCCTGCTAACGCAACAGCACCATTATTTAATTTCGGACAGCAAGGGCTGCGCTCCTTTTTGCGCATTGCACATGCCACCCCAGGGTAGAGATTTCCAGCCCCGCCATGGCCCGTCCCATATTCCAGAGCTGGAATAGTCTCACTCACAGGACTGGCTCGTTGGTCATCCGGAGCAGCTCCTCCACTTGGGTGCACCAGCCTGCCGGGGAGCAGGTAGCTCCCGGGTGGAGGAGCTGCTTCAGGATGACCAACTGTTCTGCCCCAGCTACGGACCCCAAAGAACACAGCACACACAAAGTCTGTACAAAACTTAATTTACTAAAATAACTCAGTCTTTTTCAAACAAAGGCTGTTAATAAACTTTCTTAACAGCCTACAAGAAACCAAAGATAAAGTAATCACAATCTTATTACGGTTGGCAGAAAGCCCAGAAGCAATTTTACAGAATCTAGACGCGAAGGAGAGTGAACTAAAGTTGTTCCCTACAAATTGCTTCAGTCGGCATTCATTCTTAAATAGGCTAAGGAAGTGGCCAATTAGCTCCAAGCCTTACTCTCAAGGATACCTCCTCCTGAGGAGCCACTCCTGCCTTTTGGCAGCTCTGCGTGCCCGTGCATCGAGAAGAGGCTCCTCCTCTTCATCCTCTTCACTTTGAGGAACTTCTGGAGGTTCTGAAGGCCCTGGCTGAATCCCTGCCTCTGGCACCACATCTTCTCCAGCCTCCTCATTGTCTGACTCGAGTGCCAGCTGCACAGACTGCTGGCGCAGCACCACACCAGCCTCCTCGTCAGAATCAGCTACAATCTGCACAGGCAGCTGACGGGCCACAACACCAACGGGCCAATCCTGTGACTACTACAATTCCACCCAGAGGCCTTGCAGGAGAGATGTAGGCCGGAAAGGCGGCTGAACCTCCCCTCCCAGCCCCGGCAGCCATTCGGCTCTTGGTCTTACCTTCCAGTTCCAACTTGTGTGGCTCACACTGCTCTACTCAAGGTGAGGTTTGCGCTCGGCCTTAAGAGTGGGGCTAGCTTGTGGATGGGGTGATGTGGGTGATGCAGCCATGTGTTCCCGCGCGCAGGCTGGATTAATTGCTCTCGGGGACCATATCTGGCCCAGGGGCCATAGTTTGAGGGTGAGTGCAAAAAAAAAAAATGCAAAAATACAAAAATTTCTTCATGGACCACCAAAATTTTCTCACGGACCACCAGTGGTTCACGGACCACCGGTTGGTGACCACTGATATAGAGCACATTGAATTTGAAGAAAATCACCATGGGGGGAAAAAATGCTAAAAGTCAACTCTAACATGATGGCACATAATGAAATCAAATGTATAGATGCAATAGATAGTTTTGGGGGCAAAATTAGTATTATCAAAATGAATATTACAATTTGATTAATGTACATTTTACAAATATTTTATTGATGATTTCCTTTAGGTATATTTTACACAGATGTAGAAATGAATGGGAAGGAAACAAAACTGTATTTATACAAAAAATGTGTAATTTAGAAAATTTCTACCCCATCCTTCAGATTCCCGAAGTTTCCAATGTAGCTGTACTGTAAAGGAAACCAAATGCACAGTACACATGATGCAAAGCAAATACACAATTTAAATTAGTGCAAGAACGGTAAAGAACTGGAGATTCTTCTAGATAGAGATCTTTTCGTGCTTTTAATTAAAATTTTATGTAGGTTGGCCAGTCTATCTTTTCCTTCTTATAACAAAAAAAGGACTGAAGGAACAGTTAAGCTGTGATGGAGCAATGAATAATCATAAGAGAAGTATATTTTTATTTCATTTCTGATTTATTATATTTCTCTGGACAGATTATACAGAAAATTAAAATATCAACAAATTTTAATTTTATTAAGAGTAAAATATCAGGTTACAAATGGAAGATGGTGATTGTAAAAAAATTTCCTCAAGCGTTTCATGAAAAGTTGATTGATCAAAAATTATATTTAGTGTGTTTTAGACCTCAGAATATGTATCTGAAAATCTGGATACCTTTTTTATGTTGAAGGTATAAAAAATGAGAAATATCTGATGTGATAATGTGATCATTCAGCATATTTTAGGATGCTGCATCAATGTATGTTACCTGATGTATGGAGAAATTGTTGAATGTTAAAGATGTTAATGTAATGTTCAATTACATATCAATGGTAAACCAATGAAGATTTTTTTTCCTTCTGAGTTTGCATTTTTAGTTTGCATTTTTTAATTTTAAAAAAATTGTCTTTAAGTCTATTTTGTTTAGATTTTTTTTTAAAAAAAAAATAAAAGTGTGTTCTTCCCTTGAGACTAAGAATACATCCATATCCCTTCATTCCAAAGATTGTGACTACCTGTAATTTAGGCTCGTAATCTCAGCAGCGACCCTTCTCCCGTCCTTCCCAGCTCACAGCCGAGGCTGCTTTACCATGAGGAAGGGGCGCTTTCTGTCTGCATCCGACTGAAGCTTTTCCTCATTATCAGCCAATTATCAGGGCAACCACCGTTAAACTTTAATTAATGCGACTTACATGTTGCAACAGTATAATTATTATTACACAATCTGAGCTGACAGAAGTACACTGCTCAAAAAAATAAAGGGAACACAAAAATAAGACATCCTAGATCTGAATGAATGAAATATTAGTAGTAAATATTTTGTTCATTACATAGTTGAATGTGCTGACAACAAAATCACACAAAAATTATCAATGGAAATCAAATTTATCAACCCATGGAGGTCTGGATTTGGAGTTACACTCAAAATTAAAGTGGAAAAAAACACTACAGAGGCTGATCCAACTTTGATGTAATGTCCTTAAAACAAGTCAAAATGAGGCTCAGTAGTGTGTGTGTGGCCTCCACGTGCCTGTATGACCTCCCTACAACGCCTGGGCATGCTCCTGATGAGGTGGCGAATGGTCTCCTGAGGGATCTCCTCCCACACCTGGACTAAAGCATCCCCCAACTCCTGGACAGTCTGTGGTGCAACGTGGCGTTGGTGGATGGAGCGAGACATGATGTCCCAGATATGCCCAATTGGATTCAGGTCTGGGGAACAGGCGGGCCACTCCATAGCATCAATGCCTTCATCTTGCAGGAACTGCTGACACACTTCAGCCACATGAGGTCTAGCATTGTCGTGCATTAGGAGGAACCCAGGGCCAACCGCACCAGCATATGGTCTCACAAGGGGTCTGAGGATCTCATCTCGGTACGTAATGGCAGTCAGACTACCTCTGGCGAGCACATGGAGGGCTGTGCGGCCCCCCCCAAAAAATGCCACCCCACACCATTACTGACCCACTGCCAAACCGGTCATGCTGGAGGATGTTGCAGGCAGCAGTACGTTCTCCACGGCATCTCCAGACCCTGTCACGTCTGTCACATGTGCTCAGTGTGAACCTGCGTTCATCTGTGAAGAGCACAGGGAGCCGGTGGCGAAGTTGCCAATCTTGGTGTTCTCTGGCAAATGCCAAACGTCCTGCACAGTGTTGGGCTGTAAGCACAACCCCCACCTGTGGACGTCAGGCCCTCATACCACCCTCACGGAGTCTGTTTCTGACCGTTTGAGCAGCCACATGCACATTTGTGGCCCACTGGAGGTCATTTTGCAGGGCTCTGGCAGTGCTCCTCCTGTCCCTCCTTGCACAAAGGTGGAGGTAGCGGTCCTGATGCTGGGTTGTTGCCCTCCTACGGCCTCCTCCACGTCTCTTGATGTACTGGCCTGTCTCCTGGTAGCGCCTCCATGCTCTGGACACTACGCTGACAGACACAGCAAACCTTCTTGCCACAGCTCGCATTGATGTGCCATCCTGGATGAGCTGCACTACCTGAGCCACTTGTGTGGGTTGTAGACTCCGTCTCATGCTACCACTAGAGTGACAGCACCCCCGGCATTCAAAAGTGACCAAACCATCAGCCAGAAAGCATAGGAACTGAGAAGTGGTCTGTGGTCACCACCTGCAGAACCACTCCTTTATTGGGGATGTCTTGCTAACTGCCTATGCTTTCCACCTGTTGTCTATTCCATTTGCACAACAGCATGTGAAATTGATTGTCAATCAGTGTTGCTACCTAAGTAGATAGTTTGATTTCACAGAAGCGTGACTTGGAGTTACATTGTGTTATTTAAGTGTTCCCTTTATTTTTTTTGAGC